CCCATAGCATAAACTTGCATTTACTCTCGTTTTTACCTTATTCCGATTTGTTTTTTGTTTGGCAACATTTAGATTGCTTTGTATTGTACTGTATTTTTTCTAATATAAATTGAAGTTATGTTTTGTTAAAAACTTTTGAAGCTACAGGACGTGGTATTTGGTTATATGGTCTTAATCACCAGTTGAATGGTTTGGTTGTACGGCAGCTATACACAAGATGTGTACTGTCAGTCAAGGGCGGTGTTATGTAAAACTAAACGTATTCTATTAATGTTATCCAAATGTCTCTGTGCCGTGTCTGACATTATAACTAATGTGGGCCTTTACGAATACATAATGATTGTGTGTGACGTTTTCGTTGTATCGGATCCTCCTGACACATAAATTACTGAAAACCTAAGACACATCACTCAGTCACATTGCTGGGTTGCCACACACAATAAGAAACATATTTCACAAGTAACTCACTCGAAAAAGAGTCATATACTAAGACTGCATTTTGAAAATACAATAGCCTCCATATGTGATGCGGTGAGGCTTGATCTAAGCGAGCTCAGTGGCAGTATTTTCAGCTGCAGAAAATAATTGCTCACTTGGAGTTGATGTTTCCGTCACACACATATACTTGCCAAACAACTTACTCATATAACCCGCTTTTTGCTCGTTCCCCCAAGTTAGGAGGCTTGAACAGTCAGAAAGTACTTTGGAACTAAAGAAATATGTTCACCTCATTGGCAACTGTTGGGACCTCGATATCTGCACTACCATGCATATGACTCTGATGAATCGAAGGTAACACCATATTCTGTTGAAACAATTACTGAAAGTAACACTTAGTCAACAAAATTGTGCTAAAATACCAACACTGAAAATGAATTTAAAATTTGAAGCGAACAGCGACAGCGAAGGCCACCATCAGCATAGACCGTTCGCGTCGCATACGTGGCAGGCCGTCTTTTCCATATCAATCAACGAATCTATAGTAATACTTTCCTCTACCCACCACTTTTTTTGAGTGGTGATAATGATTCTTCAGATGATCCCCGTTCCGGGTGAATTTCATAGTCCTTGGGCGAATTTTCATAAATTATCGTTTGTCGGCGTGTAGACAAGTTGTGCTGCTCCAAAAATCCAGGACACCATCGGCACGACACCGTCCCACAGAATCGGGGGCGAACCTCGTTTTGAGACATAAAGTTTTTTTTATTGTTTAGATATAATGTCGATGACATAAATAAAGATACCCAGGTGGGTGTGGAGTATATATGTTGAGCAATTTTTCCTAAGTGGATTTCGGGGCGCTCCGGAAATATTCGTACCAAGATGACGCGTATCCTGAACCTTAACCTGGTAAACATACAATGTTCAGGTTGTGCGCCATCTTGGTACCAATACTTCGAGAGCACCTTTTTGTTAAAAACAATTATTTCATAACTACATGGGTTAGTTCTGAAGACATAGTAACATTGAATCTCCTCACAGTGTCAGAAATTCAATTTTAGTACAATAAATGGTAGTTCATTTCACTAATAGAAGCCAAGATCTATCGACAGCATCTAGCCACTTTTTTTGCACTCTTCAAACTACATTTGTGTTGCCGCGGGCGTTTCGTTTTCCTGCTTAAAGTTTCGGGACTTGTGAAATCGTTTATTAGTTTAAATGAATTGCAATATTTGACCTCGTCTTTCGCTCCGAACTAGGCCATGTAAAACCATCCACTGGTATCTAATGATGTGTAACGTGTTTTCTTTTGGAAGAACCGGAACCTTTCAGGTTCAGCATTGACTTCGGCCAAATTAATATATTCTTGTGGAAATAGAGGATATGCGTATGCGAAACCGAGATGTGCACCTTTTATGCCAACATAGTTGAGTCAAACATTTTGATCACTAGCACATCACATATATTTTCCTGAGTGCTTCGGTTGCATGAGGTAACGCGCACATTTTTGCGCACATGCATCAAATTCCACTTGTCTATTGATCTATAGGTTTTTGACGAGCTTTTGTGTATGATTTCATCCCATAGAATTTGTATGCTGTTCTAAAGAATACTAGTTTCAGCTTATTCATTTAAACCGCGTATCGGAAGTAAATTTGTAATATTGTGTGTTGGTTTTCAACTGGTTTATTGATATCCATCATTTTGACATCTTTAAATCGGTGAAGTCTTTCAAGAAGACTTGCTCGAGCCAAAGTAAATGAGCATCATCAGGTGATCGGTAAGGCTACAAGTTGATTTCAGCCCTGCAACCTCCTACATAGAAGATAATATTAATTAGTGGGCTATGAGCTAAATTCCTAAATTTAGACGCTAACCTATCTACGAGGCAATATGTACCATCAATGTTACCTACGATAAACTGAATATGTAATATGTCTAATAAATTCACCTACTAAAGCAAGTTCGATGGGTGCAAACTTTGTGTTATGGAATTGTATCACAGCACCGTTAAGAGAAGTATAAAGTTTTGCTGTTTTGTATCACACCCTCTTTAAATGAAATTTCAATGTTTAAGTGCAAACATTAAAATTAGTCTTAAGTGATTCAAGAGTCTTGCTGCGCACTAACACAAATATATTTCTGTAACGTTTTGTCTGCATATGACCGAATTCTCTATTAAACTGACCTATTAAAATGTCGGTCGTGCATAAATCAGGACAAAACACCGATTTGGCAACTTTAATTTAAATTACTTTAGTTAAATCGTAAATATATACTACGTTAAATTTATTAAACGGAACTCTCACTTGCAACAATGATTTTTGTTATTTATCGCTGATTTTATATTTGCGCAGCATTTCTTGACTGCTTACAATTTTTCTATTTTAAACCATGCTGCCGTTCCAAATGGAGGAATTTGAATCGTCAAATCGAACGAAAATGTTTTTCGTTAATTTCCAATTTTAATAAACTTAATTAAATTACATTTCCAGCATTTGACGCCATGAATTTGAGATCCACAGAAAACTGTTGATGTGTATATTTTAGCCGATATTGCTCCAATCGAACAAAATATCGCTGTTATTTTCAATTCTAAGCCTACTCGTCGGCGCCCGAATGTCTGGCGTCAAATCTGTAACGGCGACGCAACATGACGTTTCCTTGGAAGTGAGCGACGGCAGGGTGACGTCAGTTCAACGTGTGCGTTAGATGCCATTATTTTGATATAAAAAAAATTTGGATTTTATTTGTGTCTCGAGTATCAGCGACATCTCGCGATCAGTCTAATTTTTATATACATTGATAACGCCCTCTGTCGAATGACGGTATTTTGACGAAGTTAGCATCGGTAGAAGTCACGATTTGAACCGCTCGAAAACTGAGTGTCAATTTTATGCTAAAACGAGATTCTTAATCAAAAAAGTGAATTAAACTGCGCGATTGAATATGATAACAGATTGAGATATATAAGACTCACTAAAGAAACTGCTAGAAGCACAATATGACGCTATTTAGTCGAGATATAAACGATTGAAAATTTCATTCGAAGTTACAAGGCACCCGAAGTTACTCGATTTTACCGAACGAATTTTGCATATGTTATTCCTAACCCTCACCTGACTATGTCATCCAAAAATTACGTTCACTGACGACTTCACCACGTCATACGGCTTGCCCAAAGTATAATTACGATCGCCCGAATGGCATCTACTTGCCGCCGAAAAACGACCTCGCTAAAGCCTGGCGATCTCTCTCCTACCGTTATCGTCGTGACGAGAAAATAGCTTGTTCGATTTCGGGTGATCGTCTGCGCGTTTGGACGACCATCCGGATACTTTAGTGGGCCTTATTACCCCCACCGTGACGTCGAAATGACGTAATTTTTCGGTGACGTAGTCAGGTTGCCAGTCTGGATTTCATGGCCTTTTTGAACGAGAAATCGGGCGTGCAATCAGAATTCCCGCGTGCAAATAAGAATTCCTGGCGTGCAATTATAGCTCACGACGTGCAAAACAACTGCACTCGCGTGCAACTGACTTTGAACATCAGATACCTCTCAATACATCCGCGTAAAATTACCGGTATCGGATAAAAAATACGTTGAATCAGAGAAAAATGGACGTTTGACCTTTGACCCCAAACATTATTTCTAACAGTTTGTCGCTAATTTGAGAGTGTTTGTGCGACTTTGGATACCGGTACTGTTTCAGTACATCCGCGTAAAATTATTGGATAAAAAATACGTTGAACCAGAGCAAAATGGACATACTTTTGTCATTAATTTTGGTAGGGTTTTACGTAGAATTAATGGATAAAAATACGTCGAATTAGAGCAAAATGGACGTTTGACTTTGACCCCAACATTATTTTCATACTTTGTCACTAATTTTGGGAGTGTTTGAGCAACTTTAAGATACGGTACTGTTCAGTACATTCGTGTAAAATTATTGTATGAAAAATACGCTGAATCAGAGCCGTACTTGGCCATTGGTGCGGAGGCGATCTTTCGTCCATAACTATTCTCACGGGATTCCTATTTCCTATCATTCAACACGATATGGACCTTTCCCGAGCATCGACTTCCTTGTTTACTTCGTGACATTGGCCAATCAGCAAGATGCAAAAAAGGACGTAACATGAGAGGAATTTTCGCGGGTCAAAGGTTGGGAAAGGTCCATGGTCTTTTTGCTTCGCAATATTTCGATCAGACCAAATCTTGCAAGCTGGTATTTGTCGACAATTGTGGAGGTATAATATTTTGGCATCTTTATATTACTGGATTATTGATTTAAAACCATTTAAACCGATTTACATTGGTGAGCAATTGCAAATTTTCGGCGTGCAAAATTGATTTCGCTCGCGTGCAATTTTGCGGAGCGCTAGCGCCCTCGGCGTGCACCTGCCATGGAATCCAGTCTGGGTCAGGTGGGGGTTAGGATTGACATGCAAAAGTTGTTGAGCCAAGCCAACTAGAAGTGCATGTGGAACTAAACTATACCCAGACCCCTAAACTATATATACTAGACCGCTTAGTCAATATTCAGATATTGCAATTTTCAACATCTTTCCTGTTCAAATTTAGCTACTAACTGACATACAATCCATGCCATGGATTGTCTGTGCCTATAATGCAACTGTTGGATATTAAAATTAAATACCAATTACCTCAGTACTTGATAAATACATACAACATATGAAACATGAAGCATATGAGCCAACAAGAAATAAATTCAACTTTATAATTAACCCAGTGCAATATACCACTGCACAGAAGAATTGAAAACAACAAAGAGTAATTGTTTTTCAAAATTTAAAATGAACAAATGCACAAAAGTTTCACAGACGAACAGGTCGACTGGTTGAACCTATCGAAACACTACACAAGTGCTGGAAGGAAGCATGCCAAAGAGGAATTCAATGATGGATGATATTTTCTGAAATCCATTGGAAGCAAATGAACTGTTTTACCATATGCATAGACAAAAAAATCGCTTCATGGAGTGGTTCTATTGAAATTGGGCTGGTTGCAACAGATCCATCAAAATTAGTTATTCCAAAGGGGGCGATTGCAATTCGACATGGCAGTTGGTTTATATCCGGAACTTCGGTGAATATAGATGGTGTGGCAACCAATTGATGATTATTGTCAGGACTTGGATTCTTTAGACATTGGAGATACTGTAGGTATCATGAGAAATGATAATAACCAAGTTCATTTGTATATAAATGGAGCTGATCAAGGTGTTGCTGCTGTGTGCATATATGAATCCGTTTGGGCTATGGTTAATTTGTATGGAAAATGTGCTGGTGTAACAATAGTCTCCGATTCAACAGTCTCTTTACCACAAGTTTCAAATCTGCAAGATTCATTAACATTTTCAGAAGTTTTATTTGACAGAAGAAATAGAAGTAAAATGTTGCAACATCAGTCTTGCTTTTTGGATGGAGAATCATTAGTATTTTATGCAAAATGTGGTTCTTTAATACAACTACTGGAAGGTGGCATGACTGCAGTCCGCTCCCATCATCAAGATGAATTTAATAATGGTGTCGTTATGACAAATCGAACATTGAAAAATGATGAATTATTTGAAATAAAACTCAACGCCTTGACAGACAAATGGTCTGGCTCTATTGAAATGGGTGTTACTACACATGCTCCTGATTTGCTGGAGATCCCGAGCACCGATGACAAATCTTCGGTCTGGTACAGTAATGTTGAGTGGCTGTGGATCATTACAAATGGTAAAGGTAGCAGAAAACACTATCTAGATTTTCATTTGGACGAATTAAAAGTTGGAGATCATATCGGTCTAATGAGGAAAGAGGAAGGTAAGAAGTGACTAGCAATATTATTCAATTGGGTTTGATAAACATGTAGTAGTTAAATATGTAGTTACAGAGAGGAAGGAATTTATTCATCGTCAAATCAAAAAACAATATTAGTTACCACTCACATGACAGAATTTTCAATATATTCAACTATTACTGTATTAATAACCAGAATCCAAACAAGAAAGTGCAATTCTTGATTATATATGAAACTTCAATTGTGAGAAAAATAAATTTTAATTACCTCTTATACATTTTGCCAATTTGAACAAATTATGTTGAACATATTGCAGTTTTACGTGTAAGGTGTAACTATGACTGGTTGAGTAATCATGAGTTTTGGTATATTATTTCATAAAGCAGGATTTGTGGTTAGCTGGACTAGGTGCATCAACTATATATACTGCTACTAAATATATTTATTTCTATATTTTAGGTACTTTACACTTTTTCATCAATGGAGTAGACCAAGGTGTTGCAGCAAACAATATACCTCCTCATATATATGGTGTTGTGGATTTATACGGCAGAGCAGTCAGTGTTTCAATTGTTCCACATCACTCTGTTTTTGAAAGGTTTGTTCTTTATCCAGATAAAATGCTATCACCTATTTATTGATCACTATTTTATAGATATCACAACAAGTTGATTAAATAATTTGTAATGATTTCATGAACTAATATAAACTTTTCAAATTCATTTTAAAATCAGTTACAGATGCCAAGTTACCATGTAATTTCAATTTCATTCTGTTATATATTGGTATATAGTAATAATAACTTTTTTTGATATGATGGATTATTTTGTCCAGGACATGGGTATGCAACTGTTTATCGCAATGACCTAAAACATAAAATAATGATGATGCTGATGGCCAAACTATTAGCTGTAGTAACCAGCAGAATGTTTTGTACAGCAATTTTACACTGCTATATTGCTTGCATAAATCAGGCATACCACATCCTGATTGTGTTGAACAAAGAAGTATTTTAGACACCACTCAGTGTAGAACTTATGCTTTTTATAATCATGTGACACAAAGTCAAAAATGCAGGTCTTGTTACGAATAGGAAAAAGCATCCAAAAATATGGGCCATATAAATAGGCGTGGCGTAGGCCATTCAGCTTTTGTTTACTTATTCCATAACGAAAACTTTTCCCCGTTATATTATTAGGAGTCGAAGAAACAATGCGGTTGTTGACAGAATTTTGCTTGATTCTAATCTTCTTGAAGAACGTGAACCACTTCTGTTTGATGTCTCATGTGGAAAGCACATCGAACTGTCATCGTGCAAGAAATCAGCCATGCGGCAAAATCCTCTGGAAGATTTTAATCATGCAGTAGTGCTGAGTGCAAGAACTCTGAATACTGGTGCGTACATTAGAAAACAAAGTTTGATTTTCATTTTCATCATCTTCGGTGTTGCCCCTTTGTTAATTTATGGTGGATCAAACCATTCCTCAAATATCAAATTCCCATGTAGGCTGACTTCAGCATTCTTGCATTTTATAAAATGATATATACTGGTTTAGCCTCATTCATGTGATATGATCATATTTGACAGTTATTTGAACAATCAAAATGAAAAAATCAGCTATTAATCAGGTAAAACCCAAAATTATTTCCAATTTATCATTCCTATATATATTTACATTTTTACAAACATTTTTACTATATAATTAATTGCAATAATGCTAATATTTTATCGTGCAGGAGAAACCTTTACTGTTAAAGTGGAAGATGTTGTAGAAAAATGGTCAGGTTCATTGGAGATTGGTATAACGACATACCCACCAGAAGCCTTGAATTTCCCAGCAACCATGACAAATGTACGATCTGGAACATGGATCATGACAGCTACAGGTGTAATGGTGAATGGTGTAACTGTTGTTGATGACTATGGTACAAACGTAGACAATATGTCTATTGGAGACACTCTTGGAGTTTGTAGAAAATCCAATGGAAATCTACATTTTTATATGAATGGAATAGACCAAGGATTAGCAGCTAAAGATGTCCCTGAAAACATCTATGCAGTTGTTGATCTGTATGGACAAGTTTCGAAAGTAACCATTGTGGATTCGCTTGTCGATTGGGAATATTCAATGCCAGTTCCAATCAATGATCCAACTGGGTATTCTTTATCTCAACAAGCTGGTTTAAAATTAAATTCTGCTCGAACTCATGTTTGTATAATGGAAGATGGTTCTCTTTCTGCTCATAGAAAAAACCCAAATCACTTTTTTGACGGTAGTGTTATAGTTATGGACAAAAAACTGACTGTTGGTGAAGTATGCGAATTTGAAATTAATGAAATAGTTCCATATTGGTCAGGATCATTTGAGTTGGGTGTAACAAGCAATATTGATTTGCATTCGTTTCCATCTAGTCTAGTTGATATGGAGAAAAATATATTTGTCTGGACGGGACGTTCACTATTTGAAAATGGACAACTTGTTAAAGATAATTTTGCATATGACACTGAGAATCTCAAATCAGGTTCGCGGATAGGAATAATGCTGAATGAAAATGGCGATCTTCAGGCCTTTTATGATGGTTTAGATATTGGAGTTATATTTTCTCACATAAAAAAATGTTCCTATCCTGTAATCAACTTATATGGGAAGTGCGCCAGGATTACATTTTTAGGAAAAGGTGATGCTAATTTAAGCCATGAAATGGAAGCTGGAATATCTCCCAAGTCACCACTCGAGATATCGCCATGCATCGTTTTGAGAAACAACCATCGATTTTTTGATCACACAGATGGAAGTTATGTGTTTTTAAATGAAAACAGAGTGGTGATTCAGAAACGTCTTTGTAATGAAATGACAAAGCCTCCGATTATATTCAGTGCGAGACCCCTCAAAGTAGGCGAAGTATTTGAAGTTTTGATTAATGACAGCCGTGCATCGATTGGCAGTATTGTCATTGGTGCTGTCTGTTTAAAATATACATCGTTGTTTGCCTGCGTTTCCAACACCAAAACGCTTGAAGACCTTCAGAAATTGGAAAGATGCTGCCTGATATCTGCTCAAGGTGTCACAGTTAATGGTACTCTGATCGATGAATTTTATTGTCCAGACTTATATACTCTTGACCATGATGACAAGGTTGGTATTATGCTTGGTGGTGATGAAACATTACAACTCATTTATAATGGACAAGCCATGGGTAAAATCGCTTGCAATTTTCTAGGCAACGAACTTCCATATGTTGTGATTTGTTTGGGAACTCGAATCAGTTGTCTTGAGGTTGTCAAAAATGCTGCGAATATTAAAGAAATGAAAGCACCGCCCTCACTTTCAGACAGCAGTTCTGAAGATGATGATGACTATTCTGAACAGGCACAAACTGCATCAATACCACCTACAATCCAATCTTTTTCAAAAATAATTTGTGGCAAGAATGTACGAGTATCTGAAGATGGTTTAGTGGCAATGAGAGTTGGGAGTTACAACCAAGCAATTGTGGCCACAGCAGAACCCTTAAGAAAGAATGCATTGTTTCAAGTAAAAGTAAAAAATCTGAATGGAAAATGGAAATCTACACTCTCTATTGGTGTATCAAGTGAAGCACTTTCAAAAGTTAAACTTGCAATTGATGCATTAAAAATTGCAAAACAAACCTGGTTAATACAAGGTGATTCTGTATTCAAAAATGGAATAAAACTGAAGGAGAACTATGGTCCTGGTTTGGATACTATAACAGTTTGTCAAACTATTGGGATCTGTGTTGATGAAGAAAAAATTTGCGATTGTTCGTTGATGGTGAGGATCAGGGAATAGCTGCGACTGATGTACCTGAATCAATTCATGCCATTGTGGAATTGTATGGTAGCTGTGACAAGATTGAAGTAACTGAAGGTACTGTATTTTTAATATTTGTCAATATAGATAGATCTAAGCTGCATATGTATTATAAGTGGTATTTTTATAAAGTTTAGACAATTATGCCTTTCTCTTTACAAAATATTTGTTAAATTCAAACAGTTTGTTTTTAATTTATATGCTTTCGCTACGAAAGAAAAATATACAATTTAATTGCAGAAATTTATTTATCACACAGATAGCAGTATTGTTATAAAACTGAAATTGGTGGCTAGCTTTTTTGAAAACATATAGCCCTCTGTGACAGGTTATTCAAATGGATAGGATTTGTGTAATATTTATGCATTAATTATACTTTACAGAAATGAATTTGAAGAACTACAAAGAACCTACAAATGGACTTGGAGAATGTTCTTTACCATCCACGAATATTATGTGTCTATACCAAAGTAGTTGCAGCAAGTACCTAAAAGCTTTAAAAGTACCAGAGGAATTTTTTACTGGTGTTGTTTCCTGCTTTTGTAATGCTTGCTTCAAAAGTAGAAAAGATTCACCTGACAAATGTCAGAGTGAATTTTCAAATTCTTGGCCACAACCTGTTGGATGGTGTTCGTTCGGATTACGTACCCATCCTAATGTTGATTTGAAAGCTGTTTCGAAACATTGGACCGTTGCCTTTTGTAACACAAAAGCGAGTGACATCAGAAAATTATTAGATTGCGGTGAAGTACCAATTGAAAATACTCCAGTTTATGATATGCGTTGTAAATCAAATATTGAGGATGCTGTTGCAAAAAAGAAAATTCCAGTAATAATATCACCTAGTTTAAAACTTGTGACGGATGAGAAATCTGGACTTGCTCAGACCTATAATGACGATCTTTCAAAGAAAGGTTCTGTAGTTCAGCTTGCACTCCAGTTATATATTCAACCTGATAGCTTTAAAGAAAGGAAAATTTCTCCTTGTAAACTTGAAACTCAAGCCGATTGTGAATCTGATGCAGTGGAATGGATGATCAAGCAACCTGGTACAACAATATTCTCCCATTTACTTTTGAAGTTGGTTGAAAAGTAGTTGTGTGGAATTTCTCTACTCTATTATTATTAAATTCTACATTAGTGAATAGCTTGTAGGATGTATCTATGAACCAATCCTTCACCTCAAAAAGTTTTGTTGGTATTAATGGTAATGTCTGTTCGCTAATTATTTCTTTTAACTTTTGTCAAATTCTCTCTAATTCTAGAAATATTCAAATTTTGAATAGTTGAGAAATTTTTTGCTTTTACACAAAACGGTTGTATTTTTTCATTCCATTTGTTTTGCTTTTTGCAAAGAACTTGCTGCAAACTAACACCAATTTATTCATGAAACTTCATGTCGGATCACGACTGGAATTCGGGAAAAGACGTTCACCTAAATGCATGCTGCCGTTTCCGAGATTTTGACACTGTTTTCTGCTGATGATATTCAAAATATTCTCTACACACTTTCTGATTTCATTTAGTCGTTTGTTTTTTAAATTATTTTTCTAATAAATGCTGAATGTTTTATTGGATTGTGTTTTGCGCCTAGTTAACTGCTGTCTTACGCAAAGTGGACTGCTACAACTAGTCAAGACTGCTAAATTTACACACCGAACCTCATGCTGGGGGGCCCAAGCGGGTTGTCCTGTTATTGAGATAAATAAAGTGTAATATCCTATTTCGCGAATTTCTGTACTGACCGTTATTTCGTAGCAATTTCTTACAGTGATGGCACAGTAATAAAAACTGAGGTCGTCAACGACACAGTATGCTTACTATATCAATGGGTTTTACTCCAAATGCGCTGCTCTGTTTCAAATAATATTGGGGGAGCAGTACTCAAGCTTATAATCAATTTTGCCGATTTTAAAAACAATTTATTTCATGAAAAAGATGGCTTGTTCTGAGTTTATTGCACAAACTTCGGATCGTTATTTGCCAGTTCTCGTGGATTAGAAACAAAGCGATCTAGTTCTAAAGATTGTAAAAAAACACATGAAAAAATATTGGAATCAGCTTTGCCTGAGAAATGATTGTATCTAATATATTGGTCTAAAACTCTGAATCGATGGTGAAAAAATATAAAATTACTTGTTTAAAAATAAAATTGAGCAGAAAAGGTTGTCACCGATAAGTGAAATTTAAAATAGGGAAAATCAGCATATGGAAAGAAAGATTTTACACTGTCAATATAAAACCATGGTGAGTATAAAGTCGAAAAATCAGATAATTTGTTACGAAAGGTGGTATGTCACCGAGAATCTTGTCGTACTTATTTTCTTCTTTGGCGTTAATTGTTTTGTACTGGAGATTAGCAAGCTATGGAGTAACAATTTGGTTCGAGCATTCGTTAAACGTTGATTATTGCGTTAGATTCAACAATAAGTATAAAACGATTCCGAGTAAAAGTGTAGGAAAAGACGCCATAACCCACAGTCCTCTACTTGGGGTCGAGGAAGGGGCTTGGGTTGGAGATGGAGCATGGATTCCATTGCACAACGTAGTGTTGCAGACATCAAGGGTACAGTTACTAAAAAATAATACATTTTATTATGAAACATTGATATTAAAATGCTAATTTTACGTTGTGGCTAGTTAATTAATCCTAATGACTACATACAGAAACATGGAGTATTTTTCCAATTTCTAAACGTGACACGAAAAATTGTAAGAAGTTGCTTTATACAGATCAATTGATCTACGCATACACATTTTGAAATTACAAATTGTAAATACACATAATTTGCGAATATATGTGGAGTTTAAATTGAATTTTTTTGAGTGCTTATCTCTTCAACAAATACTGAGATATCCGATAATTTTTTTACATTCACTTGGTTACGAGTTATATTAAGAGCAGCAATTATAGAAATTTCCAACGATTTGTTGTGATAATTATTTTTATGGTGAGTTTACTCGTTCATATTTCATAAGTTGCTTGCTGTTGCGCCACCAACAAGCTTGTCTACTCGACTACTAGGAAACTCAGGTGAGAATTACGAGATACGGTTGATTATCGTCGGTTGGGAGCGCTTATTCATATCTTATAATGAATCAATATGCAGGAGAGAATTACTGGATTTTGCCGACGCTGATTGGTTAGAGCCTCCTCGGCCAAACGAGTCCAGGTATCTGGAACGATATTGACCTGCGTCTAACCCACATGATTATCAATGGTGCTTCCATTCCCTGGAACCGACACGCCTAATGTCGAGGTAGTATCAATACCCGGTACTTCGTTTTATGAATACAGATTCCTCCCACCTGATATCAAGCGCTGACACATCCAAACCCCTAGGAACATATCCAGACTCGTTGAATCTCTGTAGGAGATATTCACAAGAAAGAAGAGGAATGTTGTCAACCTCGAGGCATGCTCCAACTTCGACATCGACTAAATATAACAGAGAGAGATTTATATAGGTAAACGACGAATATTTGCATGCATAAGGTTAAAATAACATATATAGCAAAATTTAAGTAGCCTACCATTGAAAGTAATACAATTACTACTGAATGTGCATTGATGTCTAGCTTGGGAATCAGGACAATTTAAAAATTACAATAACTTCCTTATTATATAGCCTATATATAATTATGAGAAAAGATTATTCGGGTTGTCATTTACTTGAGTCCAGTGCAACTGGAGACGGTTTGTTTCAAAGTGTCCTATTCATACAAAAAGAAGTTTCTGAGTATCACCTTTCTCCAAAGAATTTAATCTCCAATTTATGCGGAAATAACAGCCTTAAAAAGTCAATACAAAATTTCCATCCAAATAGTTTAAGACTATGTAGTTGTATTCGGTTCCATTACATTTGAACCTACAACAATTGCACCTATGGACATTTTTTAAGGATATTTGAACCCATACTAACCCTAACCCGGGAATTTTATATAGATTGATATACGCGGATATACGGGTGAAAATGTATGGGTTCAAATGTACGTGGTATCAAATGTACGGTCACCGTGATATTCTGGTTATTTATGATGAATACCAGACTAGTATTTTCCACAATTCATGATCAACTTACATAAAAGTCCGAAAACTTGGACATAAACTGCCGCCGACAAACAAGTATGTTCAACATCTTCAGAACATTTGTTTGCAGTGCTATTTCTAGCTTGAACACCTTGTCCAATAACGCCCAAACCTTCGTAGCATGATATTCCTTCTGCATCCGTTGATGACGATGCCAGTATCATCCCCGCAACAAAATATAAAAAACTACAACGGAAAGCACTCGAAATCATTGTGGTAAATTATTAAAAGGAATGACCTATATTACACTGTATGTATAAAAAGTAATCATATATATTATATAACACTATGGTCACCTAGTTATGTTAACCTAATTATAATAACAAATTTGATCTTCTAAATTCTAATTACAGCGTTTTTGCGTGAAATCCTTCTGAGGGGAAAATATTATAATAAGGGCAATTTAAAATCAGATCAGCCCAAAGGTTTGCAGCTAGTGAATTGAAAATTAATTGACATTCATTATCTACAAAACTTCCCATATTAGTATGAGCGTGTTTCTGTGAAATGCTATTGAATAAATTACAAAAATAGACTGGCCCGTATACCTAAAGGTTAACTTTCCTATAGTTAATGTCGATTATTGCCAATCACCTTGTGGTTATGAAGAGGGAAACCAACCAAATTATCTCTCCGAACAATTTGGACTTGGGCTACTTAGGTTAGGGCCAAATCACCAGACAGAGAGAGCCCATCTTGGATATCGCATGAAAATAAGTCGAGTTAAGAGTTACGTTCAAGGCCAAAGGTTTGAAGTTAGGTTAGGTTCAGTTAAATGTTATTTTCACTCCAGACGAATCTAACGTAAATAGATGTAGCGCTAAAGGGTATTTGATCAAGGTATTGAGGGAAGAGCCATTCGATTTCACATGACATGTGGCATCCACTGCCAATTTAGGCTACTTATTTTTGAGTTTGTATTGATTTCACGCGACTATGAGCTTTCGGTGAAATAGATTTGAATGCTTTCTGCACACTAACATAAACCAATGATATATAATTGTATTAATGTGCTGCAAGACATTGAATCACTATATTGGATTTATGGCCTATTTTGATATTTTTTCCACCAGTATTTCTGTATTTTTTCTGGTTCCTAAATAATGCAAATGCACCAGAGGTTTATCGACTATCGTTATGACACCTCCGAAGAAACCCAACATATTGGCTGACGCTGACTTTTGTTTGTCACAAGATTATATGCTTTTCACTAATGTTCAACACGCCCTTTTCTCAGTTGTGCTCAGACTTGTAAACAGGACTGCGCCTTATTCGGTAATACCTTAAATATTCAAACAATTTCTCATCTATACTCTAAACCAAATTAGAAGTACTTGAAAATATATTAAAACTAGAATAATAAAGCTCATATGTTATGACATTCGTTGGGCGTTTACGCCAGTGTATGCGGCAAATGATATCAGTACATAAAAAATATTGATAAAACTACCATACGTCACGAACCACCACACGAACATGCCAAAAATAAAAACCGACGCATCAAAAATCATTAGAGATCTCCTGACTATCATAAATTAATTAACTGTATCAGACTTTTGTTTAGGCTAAAAGTCGAAAGTGTGTTCACTATCATATACTAGATTTATTGAACCTATTGAAATAAGCACAATATCTGTCATATCCACGCCAGATATAAACTTTACAATAAAATTATTTTATTCACTGTTTAATTCTGCAACAGTGATATGAACTTTAAAGTGATTGATTATTTGCGACTGGCAATTCGCAACATCACACGTGTATGGACCGCTAATAAGTTCTTTGGACTTTGCTGCATAGATTAGTTGATAATCAATAACCGGAAAGGTTATCACAAATTGTTAGTGTCGTCATGGACACAATGTGGAATGTTGGAGCGTTAAAATTTCATCTTATTCTCAGGCGAAATATTTACTAATGAACAGTTACTCCAACGTGTATTCGTACCCAATGTACGTACCAAATTTGTGCTCGTGATGATTAATATACACACATTTGTGACTCAAGATATTTTACCAGCGTGGTTTGCCCAAACATTGTCATGCGGATACTTTCACCCGCGCCAGTTTAAAGTCCGTCGTAGCATCATAAATACGAAAGATCAACCGCAAATGTTTTCATCCATTCCGATTTATTTTCTTGTCACCATGCATTTGTATCAGATGTGTGGACTTGATGGAGGAAGCCGTAACCGGAACCACCCTAAGGTGTTCAGCAATCTTTTCACAAATAATTATCCCCCGCAGGATTCGAACGTGTGAGTGAACCCAAGCAGGGTAATCAGAGGTGCGATGGCAGCGGATTCCCAACGTTTCGCGCCTCGCCATAATTCGGGTATATGGAGACAGAAAGCAGCATCGAGGGACATCGCGAATACTCTGGTTTTGTTTATGTCCCTGAAATACCGGAGATAGAATTCATCCATGACATTTTTGTTATTACCCAGATCGATACCAACAACCAAAATACAGACAGTTGCACTGCAAAACATATTTTATTTGCAAAGGTTACTCCGCGCTTCTGTAGCGCTATACATTTTATAATAGATCAAAGGCACTGAGTGAGACATGAAATTATTAATGATCTGCTACTAAATATAACATCGCCCTTGATCAGTGACTACGGAAAAATATTGCAATATTTACAAAATTCTACGACCCACGCCGCTAAAACACCTTGATAATAAGCAAATGCATAACTAAACATAACAAGAAATTTTGGACAGAGATTATTACCTCACAACCATGCCATGAAATTTACAACACATAACATGAAGAATAGCCATAGCATTATATTACAAGCCAATGCTATAATAGGTTTATACTACCTAACGCTAACAAACATATAACAATATATAACGACGAACATATTCAAACATCAATATTTCCAGATAGAATGCAGGCCGAATTTCTCTTCAAGGAAAACTATATACCAGAGAAATTTAGACATAGACTTATATATCAGACGAGACAGAAGTTTGTAGAATTGAAATTATACTGTTGTTACCGAATGTAAGAAATAATTTATTCTACTAATTGCCATCTTAGTAATATACAGCAAGTATTAACTGGAAATTACAATAATGGCCTGTTCCCATACAGGACATGAACTTAAAATCATGATGGGCCATTTGTTGAGCACCACAAAATTTATATCAAAAAGGTATCACCCATAATTCTAACCCATATACCTATCCCATTAAATTAAAATAAAAAATTATTTCTACAACATTAAGTAATTGTGTACTCAGAGGTAAAGTCTTATTGGTGCAGTAACACTATCAACTAACACAATACTTAGGGCAGTTTAAAAATGTACTTACTTAGCCAAGAAAACTTTTCAGCTTTCTAGACACCTCTATCTAAAACAGTTTGAAAAACAGTTTGAACTGAAAAAGCAGTACTGGAAGATTATTACGATAAGCTTACGTTTTTACATACCAATATTAATTGTAGGAATAAGCATTTTGAGATTATTCTGTGCCAAAATATAAAGCATGTAACTGTGAAAACCTGGTTCATTTAGAATGTAATATCAGACTATTGTGTTAAACACCAAGCAGTTCTTTGCCAATCTTTGGAAACCAAAAAAAGAAAGCACCAAATTTAAAATTATTACATTAAAATTCCGATTAGAATCTTAATCTCGAAATACAATATTCAAAATCGGATCCATATTTCTTTCTCAAAATTAGAAAAAAACCAAGCACCCGTAACCCATAAGAATACCAGCTACATAAAATCCGTGTTTGTTTAGAGTCTAGATTTAGATCAATTATAGGTTTCACAATACAAATACAGACAAAAACACATTAAAAAGAACATAATGAAAATAAAAAAAGTAAATTGAAAGATGAATATGGTGCTATGTACAGGTTGCTATGATCCAGTTATGAAAACAAATTTAAAAAAAAGGTAGATATGCGTGACTGGTAAATAATTTCCTAGTTTGAATGCAGTTGTTGACTGGCCAACAGACCGCAGTAACATATCAACCTAATTATTTCAACATCCTCGATTTCATTTAAAAGAATCGTGACACCCTAGTGTCTTTACATCAAAACGTAGAAAACAATGATTTAACGTCATACCTGCAGACTGATAGGATTAATTTTAGAAGTGTTCTCTTTGCCGTCTCATTATAACACAAAATGCATTGAAGTTGGAAATGCTATATTTCAATCTTATGAAGAAATTCAGTTAGACTACATTTTCGCTTGTCGTTTCAATATGATTGCATACTATTACATTGTTCAGAGCTCATTCAAGATTGATAATGGTTAAAACTATCACAGCTATTAACAAGTCAGAATTGGCAGCACATTCAGTTTTCCCCCAAAATCCAATACAAGAAGGAAATTATACATTCAGCAGCCAATGTTCATAACCTTTCCACCCACCAGTAGAGTTGAAAATCGTCTAATGATATGATGAGAGTTCGATATAAACCCACTAAGAGAAGAAAAAAATGGGAAAAATTGAGGCAAAAATTAGGAGCTAATATTTGTTGACGTTTTATTCTTCTTCTTCTTCTACTTGTGCCCAAGCTTCTTCGGCTAACATAAAATATTTACTTGCAAGTCGTCCTTTCATTGCAGTTGTTGCTTCTTCTGCAGCTTCATTATACAATTCACCTGAAACAATAATGAATTGTTTCAATAAAATTGGACTTATGAATCAATAAATTTATTTTGGCTACGGATGAAACTCATGAGCTTCATTTTTTTATGTCGGAGCGGGCCTGTAATCGACCACAAATATGAAACGTCAGCCAGAATGCAGTTTTGTGAAACCTCAAATCTGTGACAACGGTGATAAGGGTTTCGAGGTTAAAAATTAAATTTTTGAAAAACATTTTTTTTGCAGAATAATAAAATACAAATACAGAAAGAAAATAACGCGAATATTAATCATATGAAATTAAAATTCAGGTATATAAATTCAACTTTGGAATTGAAATTTTTAAAAAAGAATAAAAAAAGTATAAGCTGAAAAGGATAGGTTTTATTAGCCAAATTAGGTATTGGAAAATTAAAACGTAGAAAAAAATCTAATATTCTAAACTTGGCTAAAGCTCTGTTTCCACCAAAATTTCACAGCTCTATGGCTTCAGGCTGTAACACCTGCTCCAGTTCCGCAGCCCTGATTGTGCGTAAAGGTTTGAATAAACTAAAATCAATCAATATACCTGCTTTATTGGGATCAGCTTGTACTCCATGTCCACCATGTAAATAGATTTCAGCCTGAGCAGCTTTTACTTGATATTTAGGTGCAATACGAGTTGTTACAGCATCATATCCACCTTCTGCATCATTCTCTTCAGAAGCTTTTAGTAATTTATCATACCAGTGCAAAGCTGATGAAAAATCTTTTTCTCTGTGAATAAAAGCAAGTATTAAGTCACAAACATGTATTACGTGTATCTGAATGGTTAGCAGCAATCCAAATAGTATAAGAATTTCTAACTTACACAATTTACAACGAAAGAACAAGAGAAATCTCAATTCTCAGAATTCAAAATCAATCCAGATTATAAATTGTCTGCCCGTCAATATAGTGACAAAAGATTCACCAAGAAAATTTATGCTACACTGTTTTAAAAACGTAAAACTTGTGCCATAAACTATAGTTTCTGAAGATACCCAGACATCAAATTGTGACCAAGATCATACACAAATTTAGCAGTAGGAAAAATGAAGAAGATGAGAATTATGTCTTACATGCAACAGAGCAATACAATAAAGTCGTAAAATAATATTATATCCAGATCCCAATTTTAATAGAATAGAATTTTCATATTTATCTTGGGGAAACAAATGAAACAGCTACCGTATTTGCTCGTTTTGTAGCACGAGCCCATATTTTTTTAACCAAACTCACTAACCGAGCCCTTATTCAAGCATGGGCGCTTGTTATTTCTTGGAACAGTATTGAATTGAATGATCCGTGATGTTTGTCAAGTCACATATACGTAGATAAGATCAATCGTTACAATAATTATTAATATATTGTCATTTCCAGTTCTCAAGTATGATTTGAACGAGAATACCGAAAATTTTGACTTTTTTTGCGCACCGAAGGCATGAATCCGCAGAAGAAGAAAAGTTTTGATACGCCCTATGAATATTGAAACGACGCACTTGGGCGGCGAGACGCCCAGTTTGAGAACCCCGGTGTTACATAATCAATGCTATCTGTTATGTAATTAGACGCCTAGGGCGTGAGTGTTATCTACCAGCGCTTAAAATTCAACAGCGTTGTGACAAAAGCGCCTCTTATTTCCTATTGTTCTCTACCACTGAAAAATCAGCTTTTGCATCGGGCGGGTATTCAAGCACCGGCCCTTATTTAATTTTACGTTCTGTTCACACAGGCGGCTATTCAAACAGGCCCTTAATCAAGATCGGGCCGTAAAACGAGCATTTACGGTATACCATATGTCAAACCATGGCCTCTCATCGGTCACTAGTCCTTGTCGCACATAATTATCCCCCTCAGGATTCGAACATGTGAACCCACGCAGGGTACGCAAGCGTATTCGTAACTCCCAGCACAACCGTTCCATTTTTTTCCATACAATAATTATATTCTTTAGATACAACAATACAATATACTTACAGTTCAGCTGGCAAACCAGCGCCAGAATGATATGCTTGTGCGATAATATATATCGAATTATGATCTCCTGCATCAGCAGCTCTTTCCATCAAGTCAAATCCTTTTCTAGTATTCTCTTCACATTGCTGAAATAATATGAAGTAATAACAGTTATTGCCTTTGCTTTGTCAGTAGCAGAATAAAGAATTTTTAATACATATAGTCATAATAAATTTTTTTTAAATTCTGCGAAAATATAAATTTTATCTGCAACACGCCTCTTGCTTAGCAGTAATAAACTCAAATTTAATGGTAAAGCTGATTCTAGAAATGTAAACAATAGCTTCAGAATGGAAAAATATACATACAATTCAAAAATACAAAACTTGCAATGGATAGATTTTTTCTAAATATTCAGTGGCCATAATTTGTTATTTTCATAATATTTCCTGAAGTTAAACCTAGTTATATAAAACACTAATGGTCTTGAATAGAATTTTGTTGGAAGGGGACCAATGTGGAGGTAACTGATTTTTTTCGCCTATTTTACATCAAGTTGGGTAAGGGACTGACTGGAACCTATTCACTTGGCTAACACAGACAGTCCCCAAACTCGTAATAGAACTAAGATATGGAAATGGAAAATCGGAATCAAATTATGGCCTAACCCAAACCTGGCAAACACATTACGGGAGTACCCAAAGGCATTGGCACTGTGTTGAATTACAGGAAGGAGTGATTCAGAAATTTACATTTTTTAATCATGCAAAGCTTGCTATTTTTTAGTTTGCCATGGAAAAATAAGAATATATCAGTTTGACAGTGTAGAAACCAAGCTTCATTATGTTGATCTAAGGTTGGAAGACATTTAATTTAATGACCAAAGCAACCAAAGTATGAAATGGTTTTAAACTGCATTATACATACCTCTAATTCTACATTAGCGAGAATGTCATGTGGCATTCCGAGATACATTTTAGCAAGTACCAAAATTCCATCCAATGATCCACATTCAGCGGCTGTTTCCAAATGAAAGATAGCTGAATCCTCATCAAATGGGAATCGTCCCAAATCATAGTATACCACCATATCATAATGAATCTGAAACAAAGAGCAAAACATCACAAGCACATTCTTGGCATGAGAAAAATGTTGGATGACACCATTTACCATGGAAAGCTTCTTCCTATATACTTTAATATCACAAATCATAAAATGCCTGTTTTCACAGTATTTTTGTTTCAAATTGGTTTACATGTCTATAACCAACCCATGGGCCATGGCTAACTTGAGACTCCTGACATGGGCAAACTGAGGCCCATGGGCCAAAAGCTGCCTGTTGGGTAATTCAATCTGACCTGCCTGATACAATCACAACCAAACTAAAACCCAATTTTGATGTTTTACCTAAATTAGCTCATATGAATTGTTGAGATTGCAATTAAATTTAGAATGTTTTGAAATGAGGTTATTGTTTTCCACTTCTGCTTTTGTGACACTGTAAACATTGCACATAAAATGCAACGTTTATGACACACTTACAGGGCCCGCTAGTCTAAATGGCAAAATTTTTGACTCTAGGTCCAAAAACCTAGTCCATAGCATTCTTTGTTTTTTTCTAGACAAACTCAAGATTATTGAAACTAAATTACAATCCTTCAGAAATGAGAATGATTATTTGGATGACATTTAATTGTTGATGCAAATTTTTTTTTTTTAAATTCACCTTTCCAAGCACAGACTTCCCAATTTGCACTTTGGGAGAAACATGTAGCATTTTCGACACTTCTGCTAAGACACACGATGGTCTTCTCATTCCTATCATGTTGGCACCAGGCAACAGGTGTTGATTGCTTTTCTGATTTCGGAAACTAGGTAGAGGTGCAAGAATATCTTCAGCTACTGGTGGTGGTGGTGAGCCAACTGCATTCAAGAAATCGTGATATTCCTGTTGAATGAAAATTATTCAAGTTAATATTTTTGAATACTTTTACCAGGGCTGTGTCTCACTGTAGCCACTGGCATATTTTCAAACTTACATTGGTGATAAAAAAGAGAAAATTTTCTCTACAAAAACTAAATAACATCACCCAAAGTCACAGTCATTGGTCTCAGAGAAGTGCATAAGTTAATCAATAACTTTTTACTAAAACTCAAATAGGCTCACATTACACAAACTAAGTCGTTATAGTTAAAACTAGGAACCTCTAAACTGGATGCTGGGGGTTGAGTTACAGATTGGTATAAATTATAATTAATAACATCGATAAGAGCTGTTTCCTTATATTGAATAGCTCAGGTATTTGAAATAAGAAATTGATTCCTTAGAACAATAGTTTCCAAACATTTTTCCTTTTTGCATTACTTTAAAATTATCAACAGATTCTCGAATCTCATTTTTGGAATTAAGGTAAATAATATTGTTCTTGTGTGTAAATAGCAAAACCAGTTTTTTTTCCTTCACATATCTGACATTAAAATAATAAACGAACTATTAGCAAATTACAGAAATAAGTTGATTTTTTATCCCAACTTAACATTTAATATTCTCTCTCCCTCTGGGGACAGTCTCACACCCTTAGTGGAGAAACACAGTTTAAAAAAACTAAAAAAATAAAGAAATCCCACCGAATGATCAGAGAGTTCACTGATAGTTCTATGTCGACGTCTTGCTGAACCATTTCTGGAATTATATCCACTGGAAATTGATGAATCGTCCTCATCTGCTTCACTGATGCTTTGAGCAACAGAACTTCCCCCGAAAGCACTATCACTGTATGAAGGTTAGAAATAAAATAAAAACTAATAAACTCAACATACTCATTGAAAATTAGTGATACTCCAGATATATTTTAAGTGAACAATTAATTGATGAATATTATACTTTAAATCATAAAAGGTTATATATTAGATAACTTCATCATATTCATAGAGATTTAAAGACTGGTGTTAGTAATTACTGTACTTCTATTGCAGGTTATATCACCCAGGTTGAAATGTGAATAAGAATTTCAGAGCAATTTGTTTTCCAATAGTTAAGCTAACGCTCCATCTTAACTATGACCCAATGTCAGCGCATTGAGCTGGGCATCAGAGGAGCTTGGTCTCTGGTTACGCTAAACGCATTAACCAATTCAGATAGAAACAAGGTTGAGTGATTATGAGCGAGGAGACTGTTGTACTCAAAATCATAGGGTTCACATATATACCGGTCCTAAGACCGTTTTCTCCTCCATTTGAAACTAATTAACTAGGTCAATCATTTTTGAAGAAACTATACTGTATTCTGAACCAGAAAGACACTAACCCTTCCAAAACCCAATAGCTACTTATACTATGAAAACTCCTTAGAATCTGTCCCCGTATCGTACAAAAACGTAATCCCTCACACAAACTTACATGGATTCCTGATTAGTATAAAGTCGTTTTCTTCCTTCCCTTAATTCTTCTCCATCATCACATTCTTCTTCTTCCTCTTGCAGGATGTAGAGATCGTCATTTCCTGAAATCACACCTTCTATTTCACGGTCAAAACTTTATATTCACGTTACAGAAGTATAAGGATGAGACACAAGGGCATGATACTAATACGGCTGACTGTTAGCGAAATTCATTCTTAAGTGTTAACTATATTTATTAATAAGAATACTAAAACAAACAGCCTATATTGAGGTGGAATTTTGTGCCTATAACACTTAAAAAAATACAAGAAATAGCCTTCTGGGGAGTTAAGACTTCGTTCATCTTTAAAAATAAATACTGAAAATTTGGAATCGATTAGAAAAAATTGCAAATTTTCACTCTCCTTAAATATTGAAAATTTGAAATCCATTGGCTGCGGAAAAAGATTCCGTATTTTCTCACAAACCACAACAATTTCGTAATACGACCATAAGACGACCATTTAGGGCCCAAAAACATGAATCAGGGATGACAAAAAACAAATATTATACTATTCTGAATATTTTCCAAAACAACTTTTTTTCCAATATGGAATTGATTTTGATTGGATGAGACAAATTTGTAAAAATCATTGTATATTTATGAATAATGAATTCTATAATGGATAAAAAAATTGAGACATAGTTTGCTTTGATTGATTTTCTATCTCCATCAATGACCACAATTTAAATAAATACTTTTGATTGAAAGGATCATTAATTAATCGTAATAACAATTTTTCTTCAAAATTTATCTTCAAAATAAAAAATACAAGAAAGAAAAACAAATCATATGGAGTTAGTCAATCACTGTTTATTTTTGATTATTACTGTATCAACCTAAACAGAACAGAGGCATGTTTTATGAAATCATAAATACAAAATGGAGAAGTATATATACAATACCAAGTACCAAGAATCAGCATTTTATAGTTAGTTTGACCTCGACAAATTAAAAGTCCTACAAAACATGAAGATAAAGGTTGAGTAGATCTTTTTGTCAGTTTTTTCGGCATATGAAAAAATGTAATACAGATTATTATGGAAATAAAATCTTGATTTCTATACAATAGTGTAGGTATTTAGAGGATTTAGATTCATAAAAACAGTTGAAAGCTAAAAACAGAATGATTATCAAAATGCTGAAGCTGAATGTACAAATTGAATAGAAATGAAATATTCATTTTATGATGTCAATTAAAATTTCAAATTATTTCCAAAACAGGCGAATTGAAAAACTCCCACATCACGTGCTCAATAGATTGGATAGACAACGACAACGCCCAACTGGAGATTCCAGTTCCATATATATCAGTTGCTGCTTCCACAGAGCCTTGTATAGAGTGGAAACTTCATATACAAAGTACCACAATTTCGGTTATCCGAATTTGTATGAAATGAAATTATATGCACTAAACAACCTTATATTATTATTTTGATGTATGTCAATTTGAAAAAAAAAAAACTATTTTAGCCTTCATGACTTATGAGGATACTACTTGTCTAGTGCCTAGTTGAGAGTATATATAAAAACTAAAAACCTTCTGATGATCTTGGAGGAAGATAGCTTGATGATTCCTCGAGAACAGCAAATAAATCTGATGAATCCTTAACTAATGGAGAAAGAGGTTCTTCATATCCGGTTGGCATGGTTCCTCTTCTCTGTTAAATCACAGAAATATAAAAATTAGCATTATATTTTATATCGTAGGTTGTCAAAGTGCTCTATACAGAGCCCCAGTACTTTGCGAGAGAAACCTAGGGGATCCGCGAGCTATTCGTTTGCTCATTAATAATATATTGAATAACGTTAAATGCAAAGCAGCAAATACATCAGAGTCATTAAATAAAGTAATTTTAGTTCACCCAGGAATATTTCTTTATAAATCTATTGTGGGGTTCCGTAAATATTGGTCAACCTCTTCATGTGCTCCACAACACCAAATTATTTTCAAGTTCATTGTTCAGAAGAATACATTTCAAATGAAAATTTTGTGAATTATTTTTAAACTCAGGCATTTACTATATAAAATATCTCTAATTCAGATGTATTTGAATCAATAAATTCATTTTATATATTCCAAATAGAAGAAAATGAAATTTTCTCAGAAATCCCTTCATCCAAATGTCTTCAGTAAACAACTACATATAATATAGGTCATGTAATGGACTGTTTATTCCAGTATTGAATAGTTATGACCTAGTTACTATATGACTGCTAGAATAAAATGATGCCAAGAGGTGAATACAAGTTTTCCCTAATACTGGGAAGCATTATTCTTTCATGGGACTCCATACAACAGTATAGAAACAATAAATATAAACCAAATTTCTGAAATATTATAACAGGAATCTTTGCCTTTTCCACGTTGTACAAATAATTGTATATTGTATTGCAATATGTGGAATGCCCCTAGTAAAATTCACTACTATGAATCGGTCCATTAATTGGTGATATTACCCATGAAAATTTAATTAAAAATGACGAACTACATTGAAATATCCTAACTTTTTGATTTAATTCTAAATCAAAATTTCCATCTGATTCTGAAGTTAAAAATAGTTAATCCAACCAGCATTGCAATAACTAATTATAGAAAAGAAACCTACCAGAAAGATAGAACCTCTTTTGTCATTCTTATGTTCTTGAAATGACAAATCAAAAGGTGACAAATTGAGACTTGTACATATTTTGTTGCATGTGTGAGAGAAGAAAAACAATCCCATTCCCTTTGTACCTAGGTTGCCGTCACCATATTCTGTACCTCTGAAATATAGTATTCCAATGAAGTCTCATTCATAAAATGATTGTTTAGGAAAATAAGAATCTAACAATGTAAAAAATTGCAGGCATTTAATGGGATAAAAAGTTATGAAGTTTACGAGGTTTAATATGATTAAACTTATCAACTCTTGGAGGTAAATTCGACCTGAATTGGGAGTAAATTTTGCAACCAGGAAATTCAGCATTCGCATTGGTACATGATTTGACTGTATTGATATAGATTTACACAAATTATTTTAGATATCTTCATCCACAATTTAACATTGAAATTCCTCTATCGCCCCATGACCTATTATAGGTATTTGTTGAAGTGAAAATTGAATAAAATTTGAGATGCATTTCACTTTGAATTCGTGACGGGTGAATGCTGGTCGGCAAAGTTTTTTAGGTGAGGCCCAAATGAGGCCCTTTTTTGTATATCACTGGCATAATTGAAATTTATTGAAGGCCACAGGAAAATGCTCGGCTGCCCACGATTCGGCCGCGCCCCACATTTTGTCGACCACGGTTCCAGGCAGTCAATGAATTAAACAACATAAATTCAATTAAAGAATACCCTCATCGAAAACTGTGCAAGTGCATGAACTCAAATTCATAATATTTAAATAAACTCAAGGCCTGAGGGCATCAGGTACGTACGTAACCCTGACAAGCCCAGACGATAATACACCATAAGTACAAAATAAACACAGAGTCTATTGTTCCTATATGCTGAACAAAGTAAACATGAGCTTTTGTTTTCTATGCTGACCTGCAAAGCCAGCAAAAACCATGTTTGTTAAACATGGTCAAAATCAAATAATGAACTTCCCAAATAAAAAACCTGGAAAAATACTGGTATATTGAATTTTTTTGAATTAGCACATGCACGAAGCATTCATAGAAATCTGTATTACTTTAATAACAAAAGTTCAATTCGAATTAACATGATGAATAGTGTCATTACTTTTTTTTTGATTGGAAGTATAAACTAGCATATGTATTGACTTGGTTAGGATGGGCGAGTGGGTGGTTAGATGTGTGTGTATGTGTTGTTCAAACAATATAATATTTGGCTCGACATCGACACTATATTATTCAGTTCGTATTATCTAGCAAGTTGATAATGTTAAGTGTCAAAAAGGGTTTTCATTAATTAAATGACCTGCGAGGTTCATTGTTCCAAAATTTGGTACTCCCATGTCCCATAGTATGTGTACCAGGTTAGGGTTAGGCCATAATTTTATTCTGATTTTCCTTCATTTAGTTCTATTACAAGTTCTGGGACTGTCTGTGTTAGCAAAGTGAATATCCCCCTGTCCATAGGTATAAGTCCCTGCCCAAAACTTGATGTAGTTAGCTCCATATTGGTACACATACTCTGGAGCGCTCAAAATTTACTAGTAAATTGATATATGGGAAATTGTTTAAAAAACGGGTTCCTATATTATAAATATTGTTAAAAACTTATTTGATAGTTGTTAGAAAAACCCATAAATTAAAAATAAGCAGTTACGTCATTGATACCCTATGAAATTATACAATATTATGGTTGAAAGAAAAAAAAAACAGGAAATGACCTATGATCTGAACTTGGTAGTTTATATCATCAGAGTAACTCGAGATATTACCAAGAACACTGGTGATTCACGTAAATCTTCACTAACGTGGATGCCTAGGGGCAGATCTTACATTGCGCACAATAACAATAAACGCATTAAAGTGGTTTATGAATAATCTTTGTAAAAACCCTGATATTAAAATGTTACATTTCCAGTTCCACGTAATTATAATATTTAGTTTTTATAAGAATATATGATTATTTATTATGTACACAATATGTCCTGCTGTAAATGATAGAAAATAAGTTCTCAGAAATTTAATTTAAAATTTGAAACTGGATTGTTCTGGTGATAGATAGTTCAATGAATTCAACCGTATACAACTCTCCCAGAGACGCTATATTTCAACAAGTCAGTGTGCAGGAACATTGCAATGCACATACAAAAAATAGTGCAAAATCATCCCGCAGGGTAGGAAATGGACTTTAAACAATTCTATGTCTTTAAATAACAATAGGCAATTCAGTAAAACTAAAAATTCAATACTAGAAAAAATTAAAATTTGGAATATTCATGAAATCTGTTTATTATCGTAGTTAGCACCCATTCCCCAAAATTAATTCAAATTAAGTATAAGAAATTAAATTGCTAAGGAGGAAATATAGAAATTCAAAATAAAATTGTTTCTTGGGTTGGTATTGGAAATTGACCCATTCAAATCTGACTGACTGATAAAAAATTTAAACTTACTTATACGTATGAATTTGTGGATCTGTGTATAAATCTCCAACTCCTTGAATATCAACAACAATAAGTCTGTGTTGGGAGCATTCGAATGTGAAGTGGCTGAAAGCCTTAAAAAGAAAATAATGTATTTCTTTGAAGGAACTGAGGAACAAATTTTTCGATATTTTACAGAATTTAAGTCATATCCAACTAGACTAGACAACAGAAAATTGTTGCGGTTTTTTATTTTATTTAAGTGAAACAAACTAAAAGGCAAGTACCTGTGGAGTTGCCCTTATGTCCTCATCAAAGACAAAACCAGAATTGGAATTGTACTTAACATAATCTCCTTCAATATACGATTCAAGATGGTAGAGTGGTGATCCTGGTCTGTCAACAAATTCTATTACACACATCTGCATGATATCAACCTAAACAATAAAATTTTGTTGTATAAAATAATTTCTAACGGAATTCACTCTTGTAAAAGCTGGAACCATGTAGAACAAAAATCTAAATAGTACAGAGTGTTCATAAATTCTATTATTTTTCAAATTGCAAAGGAAATTTACTAATACTGTATATCAGGGGTGGTCAACACGTTAATCGCGATCGACTGGTCGATCGCCATGGTTTGAGTAGTCGATCGCGTCTAATGTTGGGTGAACCAGGGTGCCTTGAACCAGTTTCATGCAGTGCCTCTTGTGTGTTTTATACCAGGAAGAATACAGTATTTTACATGCACAAAATACGATATACACATACATTATTTGAGTCTGGGCAAGTCCGATAGGCAAGCATATTATTACGTAACAAATTTTTGCTGCTGCCAAGCTTCAGGAATGAACGTGCCGAATATTGTGGGTCTTAATCGACAAGCAATCCCACAATAACTTTTGCAGTATCCAAAAGTTATTGTCTCACTCCAAGAGTAGTGTGTTTAATTTTGAAAGAAATTTTTAATCGCAACGGCAGCAGTGACATCAGAGTGCCAATTTTTTTTCTAATTCCGAGCGAGCGAAGAATTGGACTTGGACGAAATTGTAAATTTGATACTGAAGTTTTTTTGGGGAAATTTTTAACACTTACGTCTAAAAATTAGACAGGCCGTAGATCTGAATTGTAATATTTGAATACATCTCAAATAGATGATGGAACCTTCACTCCTGGTACAATTACATAATCATATTAACAAATTTAATGAAACATGAAAACATACAAATTTTTGTGGCGATTCCATTAAGAATGCTCCCACAGAGCAGAGCTTATTGGCAGCGGTGTAATTTTGTAAGCGTGTGTGTAGTTATCTGCATATTCAGTAAGCATTCGTTTTTGTGTATGACCAGATTACCGATCAGTCGATTGCGAGCTATTTTGAAGATTTCAGTCGATCGCGGTCGAAAGCAGGTTGGCCACCCCTGCTGTATATAGTTGGTTGGCCCCTAAAGGTTTACTACAGAAAGAAAAAAACCTAAATAAACAAAGACTGGTTAAATTAAAACAAACCTAGTTAAGATATATTTAGAACAAAAATTAAAATTGCAAGGAAACTCTGTGAGTATTAAATTTAGTACGTGGCTTCGCTGTTCAATATTCCCAAGAGTAAAATTGTCTGCTAGACTGCTACACACTGAGACATTCGAAAACTTTTTCGACAACAAACACAATTTGGTTTTAGATAAACTGGAAAGAACTCTCAGAAGAACAATTCTTATTTATTATTCATAAAACTTTTTATGAGACAATGTTTCAAAATTTCCCAAAACTAGTCAAAGTTAGCTGAGATAAGTCTAGTTATATGTCAATTGACGTAATGATTCAGTATTACAAATGGTATTAACTCATTCAAGGAAATATTCAACATCATCATTATGTTTAAAAATACTTCTGAATCACAGAATAATCACATGAAATATCTATTCATATTGGATTGATTATTATCAGTAATACTTCCGTATATTCTTGAATGAACATTAACACAAATTTACCAAAAATTCATGAAGCCATATTTCAAGTGAGTGACTTCTAATGATGATATATTATGTAATAGATATCTTGTTTTCTGAGTACTTTAAATTGGATTAATGTCAGAATTAATATGAGTATGACATTTGTCCAGATTATGGTTACATAAAATTTAGTCTCTTTCATATGAAGGTAACTGAGAACACTTTCTTATACGAACGCATGTTTCTTTCCACTTATATTCCTTTGGGGTCTTGCCTAGTTAGATAAGTCATAACTGTTCTTTCTATATTGACATGTATATATAACGATACATTTTCAATTTGATTCTTTTGTTATTTGTATTTATTTCATAAATACCATTATTGCCCCTCTGCGTGAGGAGGTTACTGGATAAGGTGCCATTTTAAAAAATTAAAGTACATGAAGTCAGTCAGTGAGCATGGCATAAGAACCTAATATCTATATAGGCATATAGCGCATTTCAATGCTTAACACCACTAGACCAGCGTATCTAGTTTTATTTTATTTTAAACTTATTAGTTTACCAACCTTCTTCGGCGGGTTGTGCTTATTGAATTCTTCTCCCCAAAGTTTAGCATCCATTTGCAATCTGACGTCTTCGTAGTAAATTTTTCTTTCGACATCTTCCATATATTTTTTTGCAACACAGTTTGTTGCACCCGCCCAATCTTTTTTTACAGAAAGACTAGACATTTTCTTCCTGTATACATTAGTAAGTAGTGAGAAGGAAAATCGAAATGTCTACTAGACAATACTTTGGATGTTCACTAAATATTATTATTTCGATAGTCCACAATTTTTATCTTTTCTTTTTTTCAGATTTGAACATTCTATATTGATCTATTTTATAATCAACTCACGAAAAACAATAATCTTACATTCTATTGCATTATTAACTAACATATCATATCTAACATTTCTTCAAGATAATTGTCAAAATCGAACTACCGGTAATTCAAATATCAATAATTTCATTTGAAATAAGATAGATATCTATAGATATCCTTATCTGCATAAAATTTACTGAAAATGGCACAAAAGCTTAAAATATGTCAAATAGGTAAAAAAAAATTGGATATGAAATAAAACAAATAATAATATATAGAAGTGTTTCAAGATATGGATCCGGATATTAGATACATTCAAATAAAAAATAAGTTCGTCACAAAGTTGGATGACATAGTTGATTTGAAAATAAAATGTATAACTGCATTTAAATAATATTATTTATTTCAAAGGATTTTGTTTTTTCAATTGTCTTCAAGGCTCAATACAAAGGTGTTAAAAAATAGGTGTAGCTTACGATCTGAAGCATTCTCTCATGGCTCCATGGTTGAATGACTGCAAAAGAGAAAAGCAGAAAGGGGGTCAAAATACGAACTAGGTTCAAGAAAATCGAGTGTTCCTAATGAATACCCATTACATCGTTGCAATGTCTTAAGACCACAAGAACTGAATACAGAAATAATACAGGAACACTGAAAAGTTTATATCTCGGTAGTGTTGTATATGCTATTGAGCTCGTCTAGCCCAAAGGATATCAATAAATGGAAACACAGAATGAAACATGAACTCAGGTTGACATTTCATGTCTGGTATTTTCAGGTTTCATATATTGATGAGCAAATTTTTAATACTACATGCGACAGTGTATTGTTAAATTTATATCGAACTTTTGGGACATATATTTAAAAATCAATACCACAAAAAAAAAAGTGTGACTTGAATTGTAAAAATTTATAATTTATTTTAGATTTGAAAGTGTCTTCAGTATTAGATGTTGTTAAACTTGAACTGTTATAAATTTTAGGCCAGCATACAATCTGACAAGCTCTCTAAGTATATAAATTTAACACCCACTATACATTTCTTGTAAATCCAATAGAGGCAAATGATTGTAACATGACTTCGAGTATTGGTATTGGTATATTATTATTACCTGCAATATTATGAGAATAAAGGATTTAAATAACTATATGAAATGCATATTGAAGATTATCATAGCCTAATGGATTAAAATACTGCATTTCATTTACAAGCGATAGAAATACTTGCTTGACAACTGTCACCTACATGATTAACCCTAAGTCGCCAATTTAAAGACTAATAAGTACACATAATATAATTAAATATGAATGAACGTGAATTCACACATAGAAAAAAATGCAATCACCAACAAAATAAAACATTGTGTAGAAATTTAATGGCATACCGTAGCTGGGAACATTGGAAAATAGAATATATTCAAAAGTCTGATTTTACTCACGTCTTCTTCCATCTTTATTTCAATGTCATCTTCTGTCCAAATTCCTTTCCTTGGACTGTACCTATATCTATGCACTTTTTCAACTGGAAGGTTGTTTATCGCAGACCACAAATCTCTTGCAGTAGCCCTTGCATGTGATGCAGACAACTTCCACATGCGTTTTCCACGCATGTTAGGCTGTGACAATTTGCGAGCCTGCAAGTATGGGATAATAGTAATTGTAGATAGGAACGAACATCAAAGTCGCTATACATTTATTAATTAATTAATACAAGATGATAAAGATTTTGTTCCGTTCAGTTTTTGAAAAGGCCAGCCAATTTAATGTTGATAAATTGCCCAAATGAGACTTTTCAATTAGCGTAATAATGTTAACAAGATAAATCATACAAAGTCAAATTGTGATGGTAGGACATAACATAACACAATGAACTCAAGCAATAATTATCGAATTTTTCCATGTTTGAGCAGTTAGGTAACAAAGCTCATCAGTTAATTTTAGTTGCTTTTCAATTACCTATTTCAGTCAAACTTAGCTTCCGACAAATATAGGTCTATTCTAGCTGATGTAAAAATAATAATTACTCTATGAATGGAAAATTATTCTGAACTGAATTAACCTAATTAATTTACTACAGAGAGCTGGGTGTTTTTCAAAATGCAATGATTTGAAATATTATCAAAAGTATAGAGATGAGATGATAATAAGGATTTTACAATTTCATTTTAACTCAAACAAAAAGCGGCATACTAATTTTAAAAGCGTGAATTCCAGGGAATACTAGATAAAATAGTAGCATGCTACCAGAGAGCAATTCGATCCAAATAATCAAAATGGGACAAATATCCAAATTAACGAGTATTGCTTTTTTATTTGCTGAAACGTCAATGTTTTAACTTTCAACACCTCTATGTTTTGACTTTTGACACTCAGTATCAAAACACCCAGCCCTATTTATAAATGATAGAATCATGCAACAACAAAGTGCCAAAGAAGCAAATAATTAATGGCTTATATCTACAAGCAATATCTATAGAAGAGTAGCTTTAATAATTATACCAACTTTCCAGCAGGAAGCAAAAGCTAATGAAGAACTTTACTTGGCATTTGTTATTTGGAATTTTATAAAAAAAACTTTTAAACCAATATTATTGAGTAATGATTATGCCACTAAATAGTTAGGAATATACTTTTTTTTATCTAAAAATATAAATTTGAACTATCCAGACTTCAACTATCTATTTGTTCACGATAAGTTGAATTGTAGTTACATTTTAATATGTTTTGAAAATTTCGTAATATTCAATTCATAATATTGAGATATTTTAGAATATTTTAAATTGGTTCATTACTGAGTAAAGCTTTACATAAAACCTTATGAAGGAATAGCTGTGATAATTTGTAATGAGTTTTCTTTGCAATAATGAAGGTCACTGAGGATGATCAGCCAAACCTACTGGTAATTAGCTATAAATGAGTAGACTAGATGCAACATTGAACTTTTGATAACCATACAGAAAATAAACAATGAACGCCAAGAGTAGAATTGCTATATGAAGCGAAAATTGTTCTTTTATGAGATAATTACAACACTTTTGAATAAATAAGTTCTATTCAAAATTTCAATAATAATGAAATAACTTATTAAAGAAGGAAGCATAAAACAAGCCTTGAAGGAGTTAGAGTAAACAGGGCACTATCTCTAAAAATAAGTATCATGCGGTATAACAAATTGACCAAAACTATATATAAAAACAAAGCAAGCTGATGGTGAGGTAAGACAAAATATAAACCATTGAATACAACATGAGGAGCTTAAGATTGTCTTGCTTGGGCAGTGCTTGAAGCCTTGAAAAATTACATTCATTTTCAGTTTACATGCATGACCATGTATATGTAATGTAGCCTAGTCCCATAAGCCAAGCATAAATTAATAAACACTCTTCGAAGCTATAACTCAAAAAAGGCAAATTAGGCATGCTTGAATCACACTACAGAATACCGGTGACGCCATCTTTTGTGAAATAACTGGAAAAGACTTTCGATGTCCTTTTGGTAGCTTAAATAAAATAACAGAAAAAAAGGAAAATAGATAAATAATAATAAAAAGAATATAGATAATAACAAGAAAATACTTAATAAGAGCATACCTAACATTCAAAAATAAAATGCAGTTTTGGAAGAAGCAAAGCAAATAGATCATGCAGTGTGATAACAAAAATGTGACTGATAAGTGATATGTTTATCATTGAGTTTGCAATATTTTGATAAAATACCCAATATTCAATTATGTCAGAACAGATGTGCTAATATGGTAATTCTGTTGTGGTTGTTGTGTTACGCGTTGTTGTTGAATTGCCTTGTTAACTTTAACAACATACGTAATAGATTCGGAGAAGTGGAGCGTTTCATAAGTATTGTTTACAACTAAAACAAATAATGCACGTAGACTAGAGCGTCATTTGTATTTTTATTGATCGTGTTATCAAGTATCACAATGCCCTCTTTCTATCATCAAAGCTTTTCTCTTGCCAAGCATAGCCCAAGTAATTATCGGTTCAAAAAATGTTTCACTGGTACCAATCAAAAATAACATGAAAAAATTTATGTGATATTATAGGTATTTCTATTGTAATTTCCCTTTTGTGTAGTGTGAGTAGTCAACAGAAAATGTCTGTGAACTGTAACTACTAAAACTGTGGTTATTTTACAGAAATGTGAGTCGTTTTTGTTGTTGTGATAAACTAAAGCCAAATAATTAATACAGTGATTATTCCAATTACATCATGCATTCTTACATCTCCCTCTTCCTTCTCATCTTGATCCTCTAACTCAGAATTTCCCTCCTGATAATTTGAGTTAGTTAGTTACAAAAATAACTAAAATACCCGACTGGAAAGCAATGTTGAATATTGATATACACCAATTTTTTTAGGCATTGGAAATATGTTAAAATGAATCAAATGTAAGCGATAACCACTACTGCCACCAGTAATATTACTCTTCCTATTATATGCTGCAAGAAAGAAGTTAACAACTCACACAAACGACAATGAATAAAAATGATATAATGTAAATCTTGATACATGCAAAGACAATTCATTGACAATGAATTGCATTTGTCAATCCAAATCAAATACATTTGGAAAATCCACCAGATTCTCAAGGCAGGTTTTATAAGCCAAAGTAGAGACATGCATGTGTGAAAAAAAAATATTTAATTTTTTTAGGAATTCGAGTCATTCCAATAAACCAACATACTAATAACATGTATGCAGTATTGGTGAGCATAATAGATTCGCATTACGCCAGAAAAATTCTTTTTAGCGATGATATTTAGGCTGCTGCAAAAACTGTTCTGTTGATAATTGAAAAATGGGAAGAATTTCAATTCCGAATTATCCAACTGTATTTGAGACTGTGTATAGCTGATGAAAGTAAACACATCTAAACCATATTTGATCGCCAGAAAAAATGTGACAGCATATGGTCATCATGTACTCTGCAATGTCTATATATAATGATTAAGATTAATTTTTAACCAAACTCATATGTAATGCCAATATAAATTGGAAATTATTATTTTCCTATATTTCAAGAGCCAGAGATTCACAATTAAGCTATTGTTTTCAAATCTATATTGGTGATCAAAAATTATCCAAAGAATTTTTAATTCAATTTTATCTGCACCTGAACACACCAAGTGTAGGTAAATAATGGGTTTTTGCATACCCATAATAAAATGTATTGCAACTTTTCATTTTACAATACAGAAAGTATACAAAATACTTAGATGTTATCAGCCTATGAATTCAAAACAGTCTTCCTGCCCTAGCTTCTAATAGGCACAGCTAGGTGGACAAAGAACCTGCCCGTTCAAAAAGAACTTGTGTGACAGCAAACAGATAAATACATCATTTAGTTTATTTAAATTAAAACAACGTTATAACAAAAATTTACTAAAAGTGAAAAAGATTCAATACCTGATTAGTCATCGATTTGAAGACAATTGATCTTAAATTGTCTGCCAATGATTCGTGATCGTGATCTTCCTCTTCATTTTTCTCACTGAATCAATAAAACTTACTTTTAGCAAAACAAAACAACTATAATGCTCAATAAGGATTCCAGACAGTTGACAAAAATGTAATAATTCAGTTTTTAGGTCAAAATTGGAAACCTATGCTTTAGTAAATAAGCAGTGTATTTCTGTATGAAATGGGCATATCTAGAATCGCTGTATAAATTACCAATTGAAAAGCTTGCAAAACTCTGTTTACTTCTTACATTGTCACTTAGACATAAGAATTCAAAGCAGATACCAACCCAAGTAATTTTAACAAGCAACCTTTATCAAAAATAGCAAAATTCAGTCCTTTAGCTTGACTCTCTTATTCTACATACAATTTGAATCAGTCAATACTTTGATCGCGATATCAATATCAAAACCGAATTTATAATAGGAACTGACCACTAGCGATGTACTTTTTCGATTATATTAGTACACCATGCCACTCTGATTACAAAACGACAGTCATCAAGTGTGCTTCAAAATGAAATGACGCACAACGAGTCAAGGGGAAAATATAATTCTTTACTATTTATCATAAGGAAACATCTCTTGATTGCTTTGTGGTACTAACATGTGATAGAGAGGGTTGTATGATCTAATATTTTGAAGACCAAAACAAATAAATGACTACATGGTAAACCTGAAGAGGTCATAAGATAGTAGGTCCAGAATGAGGCTTTCATTCATTATTATTCAAATAAATCAATGTTCTTCTTTGTGATCACCTAAATTCTTAAAAAAATCATTTTGATAACTCAAACTCTATAATTTAATTTTGATTCGATCAATGCAATCATGAAAGCAAAAACCAGGTACCATCACTTCCATTTTGTTTCACTTTCAAAAATAAATATAAATATTGTTGAGTATTTCATTTCCTAAAGTTCACATCAGTTCATCCACTTCACATGTGGTCATGATAGAAAAAAGTAAACAAAGATTAAAATATTAGGCAACACTACATATCGAAATCCCTTATTATACAATATATCATTTGCAGCAACAGGCAATCTCAAATGTAACAAAAAATAAAATATATTAAATAATATATATACAGATATAAGTTATAAAAAGTTATCATGAAATGGTGGTGACCATTACAGCCAGAGTATATAACACTACAATGTACATTTAATATAAACAAAATTTTTAAATGATACTATTTTTATGCATGTCTTTTTAATAGCATAATACATAAGGCAAGTACATCAAAAATATAAATAACTGTAAAACAGAACATTCAAATACTTCTTTGAAAAATGTTTATGAAGCACAGTCATAAGCATTAGCGATTTCATTCCTCGAGTTCTAAAAGGTAATGAAAGAACGCAGAACCAAACTAAATATTCGAACTAACATGAAAATAGAATACCTTGCTTCATTCACAGGAGCATTATCTTCAGATGAACCCTGGCCACTGTCATCATCAGAGTCGAAGTCAAATAATCCCCCACTGCAATCACCCATTTCCATATCGCTATCATCATCATCTTCAACCTCAAGTTTATTTTCCATTTGTGGTTCAATCGCTGCCATGATTCTAATAGGGTGTAGCCTACCTACTACCTAATACGCTCTCTTGAACGAATAGGAAATCTAGATATAAAACCCAAATTTACACCTGAATTCAAAATTTGAAGTGAATTCTTTAACTGTTCTATTTTGAGAGTGTTTGTTTTCTTATAGATTAATTAATTAGTTGATTAATGAACCATTTAGGCTCAACCTATAACAGTATAATGAGTACCGGCACCGTATCATGACCCTGACACACACCGTTCTGCCACTGTGGCATAACTCCAGAACTTTGACCAAGCACCTCCCTCAGACCCTGTCACTTCCAGACTTAGTCAGTTCTGCAGTTAGTTGTTTGTGTAACAGACAAAAATAAACCAAATCAAGCGGTTTTATGCTCATTGTAGAGAAATTATTATTTACAACAGTTGCTAATAAGAATTTTTTTATCATAAAACCTATATCAAGATTTGAAAATCTATGCTGAGATTTTTCGGTTTCCAGCTAACTTAGATTTTTAGTCAATTATGCAGTCACTAAATTCGGGAATTACAGAATTAAGTTACAGAACTAGGCTAGGCCTATGCATGCATTCATTTCGATCTCAAATTCTGTATTATTCAACGTCAAATGAATTCTCGCGATAAAATTGAGCTTATATCTCAAGCAAGCTTTTGGTCGAAGTCGTTGAACCAGCGAGACTTCCAGAATAATTTAACCTTTTAGTCGAGTTTAATTTGGCTTACAACGTGATCAAGAGAACGTGCAAGCAGATTGATAGCGTATTTCTCTCTTATTGTGCTTTGCAGCCTGAGTTTGTCACGCGTCGTCAAACACCGCAAGTTTTCTCTCGAATATCATTAGTCGTTGTGAATATCGAATAAAAATGTGGGAGCAACGACTAACATACCGTGTGGGAGAGACTTTATGCACTACTGGACAAATACAAATTTCCGAGGTGTGCGGGTCGCATTAATTTCCTTCTATAAACAATGGCCACATTTTAGGACGCAACTTATATTACTGTGTTTAACTAACGCCCGTCTCAATTATACGTACGTAACGATTATAACTATGGATTTTAATGTATTTAACCCCTTTGTATTAATAGTATGTTGAATTCAATGAAAATGGGTCATTTTAGCAATCCCCCCCAACCCTGTGACTTTTTTCATTTCTTACAAAAAATTCACATTGTTCCTGTTTATTTACTTATCACATGCTCATTGCTTATCATCAATGTGTAGGATGATGTTGATTCTGTGTGATGGCCAAACAAATCAACTAGCAACTTTGTTGGTGATATCTCCAGCATATAACAGCGATGTTGGGTTGCCTTATTTTTCCATCCAAGAACTTAGGAACGTTTGACCCTCGTCGCCAACTTTTTTACGATTCCCAGCCATTTTGAATATAAAACTGAACTAAATTTATAATTACAACTAACGGTTGGTAGATGTTTATAAATCACTATTTTTGTAGTAGGCGATTAGTTAGCAATAATTTACCTACTGTATGGGGTGATATCGAATACCAATAAATATATACATGAAGAAATGCACAATGCTACTGATAATCCCAAGTCTTCGGATACCCTTTGAGTGAAGACAGAGACATAAATGAGCACTGAATAACGCTCTAGGTAATTTCTCCTAGTTTGAAAGCATTGGTGTCATCTGGGGCTCAGTTATCGGCTTCTGTGGGTGGGTGGATTCACTCTCGGGTGTTGATTCTTCAGGAATCCGAAGATTTGTGTCAATATTGGTGGCCGGTCAACGTTTCTGAACGCGAATTACTAAAACTGTTGCCTTCAGCTTCTCATGCATTACAAAATTTTCAAACTACAACCGAAATCAATGACAGAACGTGGAAAATCAGCACAAACGCGATCAGATAAGACAAATAAAACTGTCAGAGCAACTAATCACATAAATTCATATTATTTCCATAAGTCTGAAAATACAAACTAGAACTAACCGATTACATCTATCCAGCTCCAGTGCGTCCTTGGCCGCTATCCTGCTGGGTATATCCCAGTGGCGGCGCGTGGTCATTTTGACAACCGGGACAAGCTACTGCGGGACCAAGTCACCCCCATCTACGAGGACAGGATGAGCGCTGTAAGTTCTCCCATCATTTTATGAGTATAAAAACCATTCCATCGGTAACAACCAATCGGCAAAAGCGACAATTCTTAACGATAAGAAAGTGTCTTTAAAACCGGTCCAAGTCAAGGGATTAATAAATATAGACATAGTTTATTTTGAAACCTCTTTCGAAAGGAAAGGCAATATTTACCCAGATAAATACAATGACATATTAACAGAAACTTCGGGAAAGCAGACAAAACCTAAAATAAGGTTTAAAACGTTACTATGAAGAAAGGAAAGTTAATGCAAAGATAAGGACATGCGTCGCTCACTCATAGATATATATGCTGCTAGACTTCTACTGCTTGAACATATATGCAACACGCCGCGGTTTCTTGGAAGCAAAATGCTCAATAACGCGCTGATTAAAGTCATGCATCCCAGAAATAACGTCTCTGTGAATGGATAAAACAGCCAAGGAATTTAATCTATCTTGCTTCATTGTGTTTCTGAGATACGTTTTAATACGCTTCAGCGTGCTGAATGTTCGATCTGCGTCGGCGGAAGAAATAGGCGTCGTCAAAATGATGTCCAGAAATTTTGCAGACGCCGCAAAGGTAGTTACTAGAGTGTTATCTATGAGGAACCCATAGAGCGCGCAAGTTGATGTGATGTTCAAAAAAGTTTGATGGGTGTATATACATCGCAATTCATTTTCCAATTTACCCACGTTTATCATGGGGTAAAATTTGGAGACAGTAGCCAACAAATGGATGGGAAATTGACGTGCAAATTTTGAAAAATTTTTGGGGTTCATCAAAGAGAACGCGGCAAGGTGTTCAGTGCGCAGACGATCGCCTATTTGATTCACCAGAATGTCACAGCATTCCTTTGCAGACAAAATCAAACGCTGCGTTGTTTGCCCGCGGCGTAAAGAAGCACACCATGTGTCGTCGGATACGAGATACAGCATCGCAGAAGTCTGAAATACACGACTGCACAGACGCTCCATCCATTAGCCTTGACTGCAATGCGCCGTATAATACATCCACGTGATAGAATATCGTGGAGAAAAAATGAAAACTCACCGTCTTCTAGCAGACGCTTTAGACCTGCCGCCTCCCTCACAGAGCGTTCGTCCCAAACCGGAGAGCTCTGAATGCCATTGAAACACTCAATGAGCTCAGACCTAATTTCGGACACGCCCTGCACCACGCGTGATTGGAAGTTACAACGTGTTGGTGCACAAGCTGGGAGACGGCGGCTACATATCTGGCGAAGGAGGTCAGAGCGCTTCGGCGAAACGAAAAAAAATGAAGAAAACCCTGAAACATTTGCAAAAAATATACGGACGAGAGGGGTATCAAGACACATATTTTTAATAACGAGGTTAAATTGGTGTGCATAACAATGTAAAAAATGCGCATGAGGAAAATCTTCTTTTATATAAACTTGAACACCATGTTTCGACCCACTCATGACTGCCGCGCCGTCTTAAGTTTGAGCTATCAATTTTGACTTCGCGTTGTAAGGCTGTAACACTTCTTTCAGTACAGCCGATATCCCGCAAGCCGTGCGATCAACGATTGGTACAAAGCTGTGAAATCTCTCGGTAGGTTTACCATCTTTCACAAACCGAAAAATCACAGCCAGTTGGGAAACGCACGTGATGTCAGTTGTCTCGTCAGACTGAATCGAAAGGAACTGGCAATTCTCAATTTCCAGAGCCAAATGTTGTAAATAAATTTTATACATTGAGTCGAGCAAATCATTTTGGATATCCTTAGATGTCCCTTTCGAAACAGTTGCGGCATCAAGATGATCTCTCAATTCTGTATCTAGGGATGCGGTGTATTCCACCATATTCAAAAATACCCCTCTATTAGAAGAGCCAGCCCGTTCATCGTGCCCACGGAGGGACAGCTCGTGACAACCAATGAACTTCAAAACATCTATCAATCGACCGAGAACATGGCGTTTTTCTCGACGTTTTGGTTGTGCCGACGAATAGAAACCGCGCGTCCTTCATCCAACTGTGCTGCAATATTAACATTTCCGAATGTTCGGTATTTTACTGCATTGTCCAGATGCTCCATAGAAGATTGATGATCCCTGGCACGCTCGGAAAGATGTTTAAGATCTCTAAAACCAAATTTACACCAACGTGAGTCACGGGCGGTAGCAAAAAGTAGGCAATAAAAACAAAAAAGTGCATTTTGTCCTCGCTGTAACACAACCATTCGTGTTATTTATACCAAGTTTCTGCGCAGAATGTACGCCGACGCTTTCCTCCGTCATGGGATTGTTCCAGTGAACAATTTTTTGGTTGATAAGGCCCAAGACGTTGTACCTCTAATTTTTGTTCCAGCGGCAGTTGCGAAAACGGAGTGCGAAGTAGTGCATCAACCTTATTCCTTATGAGGTCTAAGGCTAAGAAATGCGAAGCCGGAAAGAAGTGAGGAGCTCAAAAGGAATGTGGAAAATCGAAAGCAAATGGACTAAAGGTCTCAAATAGCGAAACAAGCGACAAAAACGAAGGCGAGGAAACTATCAACTCTTCAAGCAACCAACGAAAGAGGAGGAATGCGTGAATATGTCAACACGTTGTTGTAAGAAACGTCGGCATTGTGTCGTCATAATTTCGGGGCTAGCCCCGATGATTTGGTAAAAGAAACAGAAAACAAACGAGACAAACGCGGCGAGTGGAAGATAAAAGAGAGAATACGATATACAATGAGCAACCGGGGCAAAATCGGCGTCGCCCCGTCGACGTTCGGCGAAGGCTTTGCGAGCGAAAAATGAACCATGTCGGGAGAACATGGCTAGTGTAGACAGTCTGTGCAACCGATATTGAGGTATTTTTCGAATATTTTTTATTATACCGAAGGCCCTATTGACGCGCCGCCACTGGTATATCCCTAATTGAAATATGAGTTCTAGAATATTGTGCAGAACGCATTGATGCAATAATAGTGGATTAAATCGCCAGTCATCGAAAGATGCATCATATATATTAATAACAATTTAACACAGTATAAACACTTGTATATAAATCGAATTGGTAAATTCGCTTGACATCCCCTCTCGCCAGGCAGCCCATTCTATGATAACAGTTAAAAGTAGTCAAATATCAATATGCCTGCAATAATGGAAAACAAGTTTGCGACAAACATTATCTGCATCATTACTGCAATAATAGCGAGAAACATCCGGCCGATAAGAGACCTGTGGCAGCAACCGGAACCAGCACACTAATTCAGCAGTCAACCCTCACAATTAGAAAAGTCTTGAAATGAGATTACCTGATAATTAGCAGGTACAAATATGGGGATACGTGCACCGGTCCACTTACCAGGAAGCAAAATTCAATAACTGGCTTACTTAACAACGGACCCATTGGGAGTAAGATGAAATTAAGTACAAGTCAGTCGACCGATCAAACATCTTTGCTGGGTCTGCCATTCGCAACAGTCTTCAATATCACCCATTAAATCGTTGGAATTCTGACCCATCCCCGTTAGAACAAAACACAAATGTCATGATACATTTTCAGCTGCTTAAATATACGTTACAGGACGGCAAGAAAAACAAAATAAATTTCCAATATGCAGCAAGCACCAATCTCAAAAATATCAGTAACTAATAAAACATGATTCAATAAAATTTTGCTAAGACATGGTGCTATAACTCACACCAAACTGTGCAAACTAATGTTTATCAGGATAACGTACATATAATTGTTAGCAGCAAAGCACACAAAATGTACTGTTTCACTTTTGCAGCTCTTGATGGCACAAAGCGCGGCCACAGGCATGCTTACGTGGGAAACTTTTCAAATTGAAGTTCTCATGGCGCCATTACCTACGTGTGACCGATTCCTTGTTACCTTAGTCGCAACCAATGTCTCCTCGTCCATTCAGTCATACATGATAGAATTAGTGAACATGTTTTTAAGATTTTATACCAGCCAAACGCACCAATATGGGACGACATATTAAAGCCTCCTTAGAAGATGTGTACAATAAATAAATAATGTAATAAAGGCAGTGAGTTTGAATTGGATTTTTCAGACACACAAATGATGTTTATTTTGAGTAAGAATATAGATAAACACTAAAGCATCAATGGCGATCTTGTCAGCGAGATGTTGGGGATGCTTCCTCATTATGTTTATTTATTTCAAATGGACATGAGAAGTAGAGGCAGACAGTGATCTTATGAAAGGAAATACTAGGGAAATTTTGTTACAGATAATAGTGAGTGACGAGGCAATCAATTTACATTTTCCTGCGCCACTGAAAAACTAACTTATACCAGTGAAACAATGAGATATGGTAAAATCAAAATGCATGACCTATCTAAAAATTTGATCACAAAGCAAGTTGTACTGCGAGTTGCACAATGAGCATTGGAATAATATATAAGCAAATGATAGAAAAAAAAGTTTGTTCTATTTTAAGTGCCAAGAAACAAACACAAAGGATAATAAGAATATAATATAGGTGTGATAGAAGAATGGTTGTTGGAATAAAATGTACCAAAAATAAGGCATACAGTAATACAGATGTATGCAAAATTTTAGCATGGAAAATTGTGTAGTGAATGTAATAGTAAATTCCCAAGTACAAAAAGTCGAACACTACTTGATCTGATAATCATTATACTGTAGCACATGTAAAAGTACTGCATGCTTGTACTCAGATTATTATGAACTGATTGGGAATAAAATAATTTTGTTGATAACTAGGTTATGGACTAACTAGATGTTAAACTCTAGATATAGAAATTGTAATCTCAGGTAGTAACATCTGCTCTCTAGTTGTAATTTCAATCAAATATGGCCATAAGAGTTTGTATAGTTTTATATTCTGAATACAATCTGAAAATATATTTCCAAAAATGGAATATCAAATATATTCGAAATTGGTCCACATTTATCAGGAAATGTTTCACACATTAGTGGAGATTGAATTTTTCGATTCAGAAATGTTAAAATAATCGATTACCTACGATTATCAAATGTTGGGTATACCTGAAATTTCGAGTGAGTGCCAATTGCGATACAAGTTACAACTACCACAATAAGAAGAATTCATTTGACTTGGATTTACTCGGTAAGAACATTAAAATCATCCTATTGATCTGTATCTGTTACTGTGTCAAGAATATATTGAATCGAAGACACAACAGATTAGTTGTTGCAAGTCTTGCGACCAATGACAGATCAGTTAAAATGCAAGTAGTATAACACTGCCAATAAGATGGAATCTTTGGGTAATTGCACATTATTAACTGCTTTGAATAGCGAATATACTTCGCTAATTCAACATACATTAACCAAAACATTGATTTTTGGGCTTCAACTGCATTTAAAGTCTATACATTGATGACGGGCATAGAACTGGTGAACTCAAGCTTCAGGTAAAGGCGCATTTGGTTTTCCAATTTTTAGTGTTTCAAGTCCTCCCGTCATCACTTTCATCTAGAAGTCCTTGATTCATATCAGCATCTTTAAGTGCCGAGCCATTAGGTTTGCCACGTTTTTTGTCTACAAATCCTATAGTACCATTGCTATAATAACGAGCCCCATCAAGCTCTTCGTCATTGTCTATACCATTCGGCACATAAGAGTACAGTGGCTTTGTACTTGATGGATAACAACAGTGTTTATTTTGTTTCCTGCAATAATGCAGGGACACAAACAAAAATACAAATATGATGACAGAAAAAATGCAAACTGCTATAGTTAAACCAAAGATTTTTCTGTGCAACTCCTGGTTTTCTGATTTTTCAAGAATGCATTCTCCATTTACTAGATTAAACCCATCAATGCATTTGGAACAATCACTTATCTCTGGTCCATGACATGAAGTACAGTAAAAACCTGGATCGCAAACAACACACACATTCACTTTCTCAGGATATCCATCATTGTCAGATTCCAAATTATCATGGTCTTCATTGGTCCTGGGTAATTTTTCAGCTGCAGCATTCATAGCTTCATCAACCCATTTCGATGAAAGATATTGTCCATCTGGGCAAGAGGTTAGGCAAGACAACCCATCATGGCTGCGAACATACCCATCTTCGCACACTTAAAAACGTAATGGAGATTGCAACATCCAATATGGTGATTGTGAGGTAATAGTACGGGTTCACAGTACGTAGGCACATTGTTAGTTGATTGTAATTGTGAGTTGGCAAGAGAATTGGACGACAAAAAAGACATCATCATTAAAACAGGAACCATCCAAGTAGAAAAGATGCAAAAAATAAACACATTACTACGGGAGAGTGAGATTGAACTGTTAGCTGGCCACCAGACCTATCAGTAGATTTTGGGCTTCGATTCATGGCTGGACACTTGCATATAAGATCCCCTAAAACTATTATACTAATAACTGAGTAATAACTATCCTTATTGGTTACTATCAATTATAGGGATGCCAAAAATAGAATCTAATTTCAAGAAATTTAAGTTCTGCCATTGAATGATAGTAAAATGGTCAAGTTAGATATTGAATAGATCTAATCCTTTGAAATTACTTGACCAATTGTTTATCTGATATTTTGTATTTACTGAAGAAACATTATTTTATTGATAATTTGTTAGTTTTGAAATTCGGATAGATAAATAACAAAATAGCATTCAGTCGAAGTTATGTAATAATCAAGATTCCTATTCCAAGCATCCCTACACTCAAGTGAATGTCATTGATTGTAATAATTAGAAATAAACATTACAGAGTTTCACCAAATTGCATAGTAGTCCTTACAAAAACTTAATTAGATTCAGCAGCTGATATCACCTAGACTAGAAACTACTTCTTATTTTGTTAGTGAAGGTCCAAAATGAATGTCTGGAACTTTAAATTTTCTGGATGTTCAATATTAAATTAAAAATATTAAGCAAAATCATCAGCATAATTTTCAGCTAGCGAACTATAGCAGAGTGAGTTAGCTAAGCAAATTCGAAGGACTCAAATTATAAAAAAAGCTATGTTATTATAAAACCAGTTGTCCAAATGACAAGCAAAGCAACATTCTTATTCAAAAGAACAGTAGACAATTTTTTGAAATATCAACACCAACACCTTGTTTATTTTATCTCTAATAATAAATGTGGAATGTTGTTTCGCTTCTATATATTCTTAATCACCAATAAACAAGTATGCGGTTGTCATAGACAGGCTTTGTAAAATGCCTCTGGCTATGAACATACTTGTTGGTGAATTTTAATTGTTTAATGACCCTACGCCATTGCATTTATTCCACATATGTATGACTCCAAATTAAATAAAGTAAACATTAAGTTGATATGTAACTTCTTGAAAGATCATCAATACACACACCTTTCTTATAGTCCAAATTTATTCTTACATAATGGCTTATAATGGTGTATATAAATTATGCAAACAAGCTCTTGTAAACTTGTAACATTAGTACTTTGAACGACAGAATTTCCGCAATATTTGTGTATTGTATATTATGCTGCCAAAATTTTGTTTTTGTTTACATTATGGCCAATTGAAATCATATATACAAGACCTGGCGATTATATTCAAGGTATGCGAAAATAGGTAAATAAATGATTTTATAACCCTTCCGAAGAGGAACATTGAGATATTGCTCCGATTACGATATTATGGAGTTGCAATTTTATTCACCAATATGCTATACCTTATATGATTTATGGAAATTGTTGTCTTTATCATACTTTAATATGTTTATGATTATGATCTTCAAGACCCGAAAATGGCAAATTCTGTTTCACGACATAACCATCATAAACCCAGGTAATAAATAATGCATAGAAAATTTAATATACTAAAGAATTTTTACTGTTAGATGACAGTAAAAGTTATGTATATTTTCATGCATTTCTGCCAACTATTGAAAAGAATTTGACAAAAGCACACATTAAAATACACACGAAGATGCACATTTTAAGGAGACATGCGATACACTGATTATGCGTAGCAGATAATCATACAAAAAACTGCTGCTTCAAACTATGTAATAGTTCTATTGCTAAGCACAGAATGGTACTAAATCACATGGAACACAAATTTTTGTTCTTCATAATACTAGCTAACAGCTGGTAACACTTATCTAGCAATTGCAAATTTACAAAGGGGGATCATGCAAAATGCACAGCCATGAGATCAAATAGTAGTAATATGCAAGTAAATTCTGATTGCCTAGTCACCATTTAACCTGGAAGAGAAAAGCTTTCTCCAGCAGAGCGAACAAAAAAAACTAAATAACATTGATGTCTGGTGGACAGCTAACAGTTTTATTGCAAAATAAAATGTTGAAATAAATGATCATTTTAACATAATTAAGCTAAACATCAAGCAATGCCACACAACCAATGCATGTAACTCTCAAACATACATTGTATCGAATATTTTCACGCAATAAGGAAACAGTAATTCATCATAACATGCCAATATGACGGTCACATTCACATAGAAATGGTATTCAATGGAGTGAATTGAATCAAATGGAATCTTTTTTTCAGTTTTTGCAAATAAATAATTTTCATGTACTAGAACTTCTTGCTGCTAGAAACAAGAGAAGGAAAATCTTGCTGCAATTTATTATAATTATAAATAGCGAGATAGATTCAAAGTATTTTTATCTTAGCTTGCAGTAATTTATAATTGGCATTTCAGTCGAACAATCATAGTTTTGCAACCACATCCAGATTCAATTTACATATTCCGATCTCGTTTCCGAAATTGTTTTGACTGTTAGCCCCATACATGCCAAGATCATTTCATATAAAACAGTAGGTAGCACCACAGATTACTGAACATCCATTTACTACCAATACTACAACACCTTAAATACACATAGTCAACAACATTCCCCCATTCAAAGCAAACATTCAATATGTAACAAATAAGATTTCCAGCAAAGGAAATAATTATTCTTACCTATACATAAATTGTTAGACTTGGTGATCTTGCAGTGGCTTGGAGTTGTAGAAACTTCATCTAGATTTTTTAAAGAAGTTAAGACTTGGAATTTGTCAAATAAATTGGGATAACGCAATATTACTTTGGTATACCCATATTCTTGATAATATTGAAACTACTTGCAGTGGATTCAATACTAGCCCATGTCAGTTATGGAAACAGATAACCAATTAAGTAGCCAATGCATGAGCTATTAATTAAGGTATTACAGATTAGTGAAATATGAAATTACCCTGCAATGACAAGAAACCAGTAAATTTCTTAGAAATGGACAACCTATAATGGCTTGACAAGTTAATTCTTTCTGAGAAAAAAAAAGAAACCGCCAAGCACTAATGCCATCAACTATGCTAACATAGACTTGGGGAATTCCCTATCAAGATTTAACAAGAATAGTGTGACTACAACCAAATTCAATCAAATGAAATAAACGAACTACAAGATAAAAAAAATATCTATCTGAGCAGGTAAACTCCCTGAGGAAATATTCAATCGAAAACTCGGAAACTTTAACATCAGTGCCAATTTCCTATCAAACAAGACTACCTGTCCCAATAATTAGAAACCTGCTCAAGTCATCAAGCAACTTACTGTTTGTTATATGAACTTCAGTTACTGGAGATGAAGCTATTTTTGATGCTGCGACACTCTAGATATAAAGAATGATTTCAAAAGTTAGAACACAGTAAAAACAAATCCATAAAGTAATTCTACAAGCCACATAGTCACAAAATGGGTAGATGGTCCAGATATTGATGAGTGCTCTTGGTTAAATAATGATACATAAATTATGAATGAATTTTGGTATTTTTGGTATGTCTAAAGACAAACTCAAGTTGTTATAAAAAGGTCCAACCTAAATTCAGAATTTCAAAATATCATAGCAGTCTTTATCAATTAAGAATTGAAATGTATTCAAAAATTTATTATCAAAACTGAAACCAACTTCCAAATTAGACTTTGCTTAGAGCAGTGGTTCCCGAACTTTTTGTTCGTGCAGCGCCAAATTATCAGAGAGAAAACTCAGTGGAAACCGCTGGCTTGGAGCATAAAAATTACAGATGTAAAATATAATATTCATAACAAATACCGTAGTTGAGGTTTGAACATTTTCAACAAGACCTGCTGACCAGTCTTTATTCAAAGTTCCATAGAGTATGAGGTTGAAATATGATACAGAACCTGCAATAACATATAATATATCGCTATATTATCTTACTAATCTCAAAACACAGGCAAATTGTAAGTAATCAATTTCGATTTCCATTTACTATGCTTTCCTGAACAGCACTTCGTAATTCACCATTCTCAGTCATCAATGCCAACACTAACTAAGTTATAACAGAGATTAACTCAAATATCTAATATGACAGGGATTAACTTAAATATTCAGAGTATTAAATAGATGACAATGCTGTGAAAATGATATAAACTTTACACAAGAGTTTGATATGTACCATATGTTCTTTAAATTTTGACATTTGTTTCAAATGGGCTCTTAAATATTAGAAGCCCAGTGTTAACAAAGTAATTGCTAAAATTTATAATAACGGTGAGCAATACAGAGGCAGAGTAATGAATCCGGCATTGTCAACCCAATATATTATACACTGCGTTTAAAATCTATTTCTATATATCAATTTGCTATTGGAAATCCCTTGATATATTGACAAATGGTTAGGCAAAAATAAGGATTACCAGTGCCAGTAACGACTCCATGTGTATGAACTTCCAATGTCCACGATCCAACAGGATTTTCATCCCAGCTATGAGTTGTCATGAAAGGCCACTTTGAGAAACCACCAGATTTCAGATCTACTTGCCTATTAAAAATAATATTCAATATGAAATAAGCCACATACTAAAATTAATTTCAATTGTGTTTATAATCTCGTCTTAAGGCATTAAGTACTATTAAACTACACTAATTATACTTTATATGTTGATGGTACTAAATCATACAAAAACCACAATGTTGAGCCTAATATAAAACATTAAATCCACTGAACTGCTTATTGCAGTGAAATAGGTTGAAACACTGATGTATACAAATATAATCCAATATTAAATGGAGATTTACAATATATTATAATTATCCCAATTTTGACAAAGTGCTGACTGCTGAGCCAATTTGAAAAAAAAAGTGGAAAACTATCAATATTTATCCTGAAATAGGACATTTATCTTCAAAAAAGTCATATTAATAGTGCTCAATATTTTCCAAAGACAGGTCAAAATGAAATGAAAATTCTCTTCAACAATGTTCTATAAGAAAAATAAGAAGAACAAATGATTACCTGCTATCTAGCAATGTAGAGTTTGTTCCCATTGCTGATGTTAAATAAATGTTCATATCACCTCGTCTGTCGCAACTTGCACTGATTTCAGCTTGTACATGCTCTAATCTGTCAGGCATTACACCTTCGCATGTGTTAACCTTGGAATAAAATGAAATATTTCACCAATAAGTCAAGAGGTTACACAACTTGTTATTTCTGCATGCACTTTCTGTAGCACAAATCATAGTGCATTAAAATTTATTAACATTTCATTATGACAAGAAAAATACATTGGCATTTAATCAATGTAATACGCAAACCTTTTTTTTTTGCTAATATAACAGGTTATAAACAATTATAACATAGATGATTGTCAAAAATAGTTTAGTCTTACTTCTCCCTCAATGTTAATATAAAAAGATTGTTAAGCTTGTTGAGTTCCAAAATTGGACAAGTAATTATTCAGAAATGTATATCACTTCACAATTTCTAAATTATCTCACACACTGCTATAAGTGGTGTAGTCATGAATCAATTAAAAAACTAGTTCAAACATTTTCAACTTCATTGCCCCTTGGCGTCAAAAAATGGGTTGTTAGAATTTTTGGCGCTCCATTAGTGTGTGTACCAATATGGAGGTAACTAATTTTGTTCGCCTAGGTACTTTACATCAATTTGTGTAACTGGGACGCAAGCCTATGGCCAGGGGATATATATATTCACCTGGATAACACAGACGGTCCCCCGAATAAAACCCTAACCCTAAACAGGTACACAAACTACAGGAGTATCAGATTTTTTTCTTGTGATGTCATCACTGAGCAAATTTAAAGCAAGTTTGCAAAAAAATTTTAATCTAACAAAAAATGTTACTCCCATTTACTGTAAACTTCTTGGAATTACACAAAGCATCTTACATTAAAAGTTATCTTTAATGGTTTTCCCCTTGAAAAAGACGACTTGGAATTATGATGTAATATGGTAATGTTGCATTTCCTCTGTTGGGGAACAGTCTTCCAACTTTTTGCCTTCAGTACCATAGCATGAGCATCCATTAATCCATATCCATATGAATGACTCACTGCAATTAGTTTATTTTAATCAGGCTAATACAAACAAAGCAATGTTACTGATAAAAAAATCACATCAAAAACAACAAAGAAGTGATATATCTGTTTATCAGAAATTTTGTGTGAAATTTTGAAAAAAAAAAGGAAAATTTGAGATGTCATTTACAGCTGTACTATCCAGCTATAGTAAATTAGATAGTTACATATTTTTTGTGACCTTCATTCCAACAGTCTTGAAGATTCGCTATAATACAAGTATACAACAACACCCTTATAATACAATTAAAATATTCAATACGGGAATCTTCAACGGACATACCACAAAATATTACCCATAAAATGCATAGGATGGAAAACTTCACTTGATAAGTCACCCGAACTAACTTGAAAAAGGCTAAATTTGAAGTATATTCATTACATCACATGTATTTATTATATATCCATTTCTGTAATATCTAAACATCATATTTACTATTGAATAATTTTATTATGTTTGTTTTTATGATTAAAATCGGAATCACAAAAGACATTATTTGATATTACGACTATTATTGAAATAGAACACAAACCTTTTCTTCCGACAGCATTCAGGGCCCAGTCACTAGCTGTTAAGCCATCAGGATTTGCCGTTTGAACCACAATGTGCTGCATGTCTCGCCATGTCAAGTTTTTACTGTGAAATATAAGAATATTATTGTTTGGGAGGATAATCAGAAACTTCTGAGAGATAGTAAAATTATTTTTGCATTCTATATTAGTTTACAACCAATTCCAACAATTTTACACGATTAGTTAACAGCAGTGTTAGGAAGGCTCGAGTCATTGACTCGACTTGAGATAGAAAGTTACTCAAGTCATCTGATGGAATGACTTCCTACTAGTCATTCACTAACTGCGAAACCGACAAGACCTGACTCACAAATCGGGGATTGGATTGGGACTTCTACTCAATATTGATAAACAGAATAAATATATAAATTAATTATTGAAAAACGATAGTTGACTTTAAAAAAAGGCTACATAATCTGATTGTATATGGGAATTTCAACATAATGGTTCAATTAAGATTCTATCATCAATCTAAAAACACAGCTCATGAGCGAAAAACATGTGGGCAGAGTAATGGTCGCCAAATTCAAAGTAAAATTACATAAATAATTCAACAATGGCACTTAAAAACGAGGTTCAAATCGGATGTAACAAGTCATATCCCACTTCCATCATTTTGGTCAAAAATTATTTTCACAAAATTCGCACAACTGACAACAGTAATTATATTGTATAATGTATATATTCCTTTGATATCCCAAGTAGGTAGAATATGAAGTGGTTAATCCATCAGTGAAACATCAAGCCTCTTTCGCCAAGGTCAGACATTTCAATTTAATAAGATTAAATAGAACGAACATTGTATTATCTGTATATGACGTTATGGCCGTTACAGACACTTGAAACCACTTTAGAATATGACAATGCTCGACTTGATTTTCCAGTAATAGTCTCAAGCTTCATTTTGTAACACTTCAATTTAAAGACATTGCCAGAAATTTTATGAAAAGCTGCTCTGGAGATTAAAAATATTTCGAACACACAAAAGGACTCATTAATCAAAACAAGTTTGCATACTCAAAGTACAAAGACAAAAAAAATAAAATAATACCCTCAGCCCTCATGTCAGTTTGAATACTGATCTGATATAGCCTATATACCAAAAATATTTTAGTAGCTAGTGTCTGGCGAAAACAGCAAATTCTAAAAAAAATGGGTAATTACAGATAAATTTTCAAACGCATTTTATACAGCATTAGGTTCAAGTTTATTTTAATCCAAATTTTTTTTAAAATTTAGTATTCACAATTTTAACAATGCATAAATATTGGGGCAAATTAACATAAAATTGAAACCTTTCTATAGGTAACAAAATAAGTGTCATAATTAAATATAAATGTATAGTTTGCAATATTCTGTTTAAAGAGTGATAACTCACTTTGCTTCCAATGCTAGAGCACATATTCCAGCAGCAAGAGGAGCAGATGCAGAAGTTCCTGTATGTGATTGCGTACATTTCTTATGAAGATCAGTAGTAACCTTTAAAAAAAAATACAAATGTGCGAAATTTTGGAATACATGAATCAATCAAAGCTCAATAATTAGGCCCACAATCTCGCCAAGGGTGTATTAAATCAGTTGTACCAAACCAGAGCAATATTTTGAATGCCCAATTTCAACCTCACAGAATATGTGGCTGATTATGCAACTTTTAATACTTTATTATGTTTAAAAGTAGTAGCAGGCACAAAAATTTTGGTTATTAATCCTAATATGACATGCATTGTCCACTTCGCACAAGCTAACTGTTAGGGGAATGCAACGTCACATGCATAGATAATAAATTAAACTCAGGTATAGGCTTCGCAACGCACATACCACCATATAACTAAATAAAAACTCGTTGCAAAATTTATAGTTCAGATATGAATCACCTTCTCAAATATTCATTGTCATTGACACCATGCATCATCACAATATTGTTTATAAATGTAAAACAAAAGGTGCAATCCTGACGAAACTCAAATAATTAAACTAGCGAGTTCATTCGGGACCAAGATACCATAAATGTAAATTTAAAATTTAACATGACAATAACTCACTATTTGTCTGTCTGAGTCAATACCACTGCTATATGTAGTCGCTAGAGTAGATGAGCAGTCTTCAGAATACCATGGTGTTTGAGTATGTTCTGTTGTACTGCTGATTGACAATGTATATATGCTATTTGTATATCCATCACAATTGCAATTATCCTGTCTCTTTCCCCCATTACCTGATGCCCACACAAATATGGATCCTAATCCACCTCTTCCCTGAAAACAAATTATGAAAGATGATACTTTCTTTATTACCAGGACACAGGATTTTGAAATGGGTAGTTCACTAAACCACTGGTCAGTTACGGCTTCATATAGTGAGAAGCTCATGCATCAGAAATGATAACTGGTTACCACTATTCCTTAACAACACATGGTCTTGGTAACCAAATAAAAGGATTAGCTCGTCATATGATTAATCAGTCTTATGGGCTTTCCTCTTCCTGAGATAAATAAGGAAAAGAGGTATTCAAATACAGTATTACACTAAAAGTTGGGTTTTAAAGTCATACTTACTGATCTTTTTTTAAACTAAATCTGACTGTTCAGCAAATGGCCCAAGGCATATTCTATCAATCTTCTGAAAAAGCACTTTTATGGTAGGAACTAGGAATTATGTCCAGAGCAAATTTAATTTATTACCAATGTGACTCCTTTTTCAAATGCTTCTTTAGCTCTCCGTGCCGGTCCATCAACCGTTTTACCGTCATCATCGGGTCCCCATGAAGCACTGTATATATCAATGTGATTTGGTCTCAGACCTATTGATTCAGCTTCCACCATGTCTGTAACTTGACCATCGAGCATACGAACCCCTGTTGTAATAAAACAGCATAGTAATATAAGTTTACAGTAACTTACTCTATAAATATGATCTAGGTCGATAATGTGTGCTTTTTTTGCCCATATACAATGAAATATGGCAAAGAACAGTTTTGATCTAATTAGTTCATTTCATTATAAAATATTACACATTATACTACGCCTAAATAGATGAATATTATTTCTAGATTTGAATGAAAAATGATTAGAAATCGACTCAATGGGCAACAGAATCCTATATGTATCATAATATCAAAATCCTTAAAGTTCGTGATTAATCATGATTCTACTGCAATAAACCAAAAATTGATAGCAAATCAGTGAAACCTACTTTTGGCAATCAAAAACAAGCCTTCAAAAGGCTGTATTTAAAAAGACTTTGCAAATCATTTAATGTAACACATATTAAACTCTTTTTATTGCATTCATCTTCATTCATCCATAGAATACAGTACGCCAGTGAAGTGCAAACACACCTTTACATCAATAATCTATTTATAGGATTTTCAGTTACTCATGCCACTTCCTGGACTGTAACATGCAAAACAAATATTACTTTACCAATTCATGTGAAGTTACTGCTATCTCAAGGTTTTAAGTTATCAGTGATGAATGATACCCAGACACACAATTCAAACTGAAAGATGACACCACAAATCCATAAATTCTACACCATTCTTATTATCATTTTAACAAAATGAATATCTACGGTAATGAATTTGATATAAGTTAAATTTGAAAGGATTCCCGTTTAAACATCTGAATTTTTAAATTCCTACTGGATGTTTTTCTCCCTTTATTGGTGTGCGTGTGTTAGACTATATATTAATAAAATTCAACATATAGGACTGATTTTTCATATTTTTACTAGGGGAGGGTTATTGGGTTATAGTATGCCATTTCTCCTATCCTGTTTCTATGCCATTTCTCCGATTCTGTGTCAAACATGTTTGTGTTATTTTCTATTAAACTGATAGTATTTGGTTGTAATAAGATCTTTTCTAACAGTTTGATGTACATCAGGTTGAATGTTTTACGCTGCATTTGTAAACAATGGATTTATTCCAAGACACTGAAGTTGGTGATCTGTAAAGAATCTGCTCATCAGACTTCCCCGCACGGGTAAAGCCAATATATCAGCCTAATCATATCGCAAACCACCACGTTTGTACAGTTACGGTACGTCCACGTTAAATGTGGGAATATTTAGCCAATATTTTAATATCACAATCTTGGTTTGGTTCGAAATATTGGATTATAGAATAACATTGGTTAAGACTTAAGAGAAGTATTTTTTGAAGGACAAAATATTGCATATGGAACAACTTCAATTAACAGTACTTTTTTTATTAACAGTGAGCTACATATTAGACACGAATGATAAAATTACATTTGATGAGCAAATTAATTATTATTTAATACAAAAATACGCTCATAATAAAGTGTGCTATTAGTGGGTGACTCATTACTAAACACTACTGGTTCATAAACACATATTTGATGGTAGAAAATAATATTTTTCAGTAAACCTTCTATCGACAACATATATAAAATGAAGAACCTATATGTTACCAAATCATTATTGCTAGTTAGGGACTAGGGTTGTTGTAGAAATTTAGTTTTCACCACAACCAATGAACCAATCCATTTGAAACTCTTGAGTGTGCCTGATATTTCGAATGATTTTTTGGTTTTTATAGTTTGCAGAAGTACCTCCATATGTCATACAATATAATTCTGTTAACATTTCATGACAATCGGGTAGCCATATTTGCCATTTGACCTTAATTAATAACTGTATGCGCAATGAATATGTTCAAAAACGTTTCACTCCAAATTTTTACATTGTTGAGGATGAGCAAAATAAGCATTTTACTATGCGTGTTCATATATTAAAAGGTTTACAAAATTGCAGGCCTTATCATATTACGTTTGCGACCTGCAATTTGTCCTACAGGAGCGACTAATTGAAGACTAGAAAACACATTTTCATTTTATATAAAACGATGCTGAATTATTAAGCGAAACATTGGTAGTTCATAATTTATGAGCTTTTATTAAAATTGATGCATACTTCAATGCAATGGATTAATATTTAATATAATTTCTAATAAACATGCAAATAAATAGATTACTAAGATGATATTAGATTATAATGATTTGTATATTTTTCAAGTAGAATAATTTTTAACAAAAACAGTTTGACAATGGTGGTGTATTTTAGAATTTCGTTAAATAGTCAGGATTTAAATTCTTCAGACAAAACAAGATATGACAATCAAAGTGTTATTGCTATTTCCTATAAGTCATGACTCCTTTTGTCTGGGATTCCAGACAATGATCCAACAAACAATGACATTGCTAATACAAATAGAATAAAAATAATCTCATGAGTTGAATTTTACTAAACCAAGAAATAAAATGAGTTTGTCAAATGTCAAAAACAGTTTACCTTGATTCAAACCAACTAAGTGGAAGTAAAGTAAACATCTGGCATTAGTTAGTATTGACAATGAGTAACACGTACTTAGTAAAACGTTCTCATAAATTGTTTTAGAAAATGAAGATAGGTTGCAAAATCATAGATCAACCATGTATCCAACAACAAAATAATGTTATCTGCAGTGTAGTACAAACCGCCTGTGATCTAGTTTTGTGTGGTATTTAGAAGGTGTAAGTAAATAAACCCAGATAAATAAAAATAATATCATAGTTGTATATGTATGTATGTCTGAAAAAGTCTGATCTTGGTCAGATGAAACGTTTCAGAAAATATTTGTGTTAGTGTGCAGCAAGACTCTTGAATTACTTAGGATAGTTATCTTTACTCTTGCTACAGCATCCTTGCATTATATGCATACGGTTCTGCCGGTACAAAAGCATAGAAGAAGGATAAGTTGTTAGTCTCACAAAAAACCAATCATTAATAAATATAAATCTACTAAATAGTCAAGACTTTGATTCACCCTATCTTTTATTAGATCTTATTGATTTTGTTATCAATAGCAACAACATGTCACAGCAATGTTTTAAATACCTTAGTTCAATGACATAACGATTTGCTTAGTTGTTTTAAATCAAAAATGGTGAATTAAGAAAGAATGCAAGTCATATTCGAATGAGGCTGAAGTGTAAAATGAAGTTAATATATGGAACAGATCATAAATATTTTTAGCTCGCAATTTTCCATGTCCAAAGGCTATCAGTCACAAACTGTATCTGGTAGATGACATGTATGCTTTTCAAGAGACATTTTTGCACTCATGAGGTTTCAGAATGAATGCTTGGCAAACAACTAATTAATATAAAATATAACGCACATCATGAGAGAAGAATGAAGAGAAAAGTTCGAATCTGTTACAAACTTCCTGATGAGAAACTGCTTTAGGAATTATAAAAATAATCCAATGATATTGTGCCATTGATGATCTACTGAACAACCAGGAAATATACCTTAAACTCACTGCATTTTCATATTAGATATAAGTTGCTACTACGTCACAAAAATTAAATATATTTTTAGCCCGGAACCAAAACACTTAAATGACAGATGAACAATTGTCCACAGGGAATAGGAGGAAGTAAATAATTAGTCACATCAAAACTATTGGCATGACATGAAAGCCCCAACTGTCATATTCTCATTATAAGCCAACAAGTCCATTAATTAGAAAAGTATTTGTTTATCTTGAGCGCTATAGCTCATGTTCAATAAAGATTGATTCTTAATTGGCAATAATGTGTATAAAATATTTGATGTCATAAACAAAACAATGATCATTGAAATAAGCCAGTTATTCCATATCCTGTTGAAATATGCAATTAAAATATACAGTACGCCCGCAATATGTGTACCAGGTTAGGTAGGGTTAAGTCATAATTTTATTCTGATTTTCCTCATTTTAGTTCTATTACAATTCGGGAATGTCTGTGTTAGCCGAGTGAATATACTCCCTGCCCATAGGCTTCCGTCCCTTTACACAACTTGATGTAAAGTAGGCGAACATAATTAGTTACCTCCATATTGGTACACACACTTCTGGAGCGCCAAATTCACAATATTTGAACCTTCAAAACAATATCCTACTAAATCATTTATCAATGAACTCATTAACACATTAAAATGAATAATACACATAATATGCCTATTATGCACTAATTACTAACCATTGAATACTATTATAATAATTACTATAGCAAAAATGTAAATCCAGTAACAAAAATATTAAATATTCATAAATTAATTCAGTCATGATTTGCACACACTCCATGGTGTTATTTTGAGTATGGTTTCTTTGGAAACTAATGGAAAACAATTAGAAACTTGAACTGTGTATGAAGGAAGTCGTTTAAACCTATCATCAAAATTCGATATATTCCATTTTAAAATGTTCTAGCTTTTATAATATGTTTCGATAATTTTAATATTAAATAAATGAGCAATGCTCGTACATATTTGCACAAAGGTCAAATGTCATACAAAAGTGTTTTAATATTAATTAATAATAACAAGAGAGCAATGCCTACATATATGAACACAAAAGCCGAAACCAAGTAGTATAAAATGGTGCACAATTTCTAATTTTGATGATGTCATCACACAAAAATTCATGGTAAAACAAAAAGTAGGCCACAAATATTTTTAAAATAAATAAGTAATAGCCCTCTAGCAACAACAACAAGCTTTAACCATAATTTTAAAGCAATGGGTCCGGTAGTAGAGCAGTGTTATTAAGAATCAAAGTGATTTTTCAGGACAAAAAGTATTTAGCAAGACATGTACATTTCATGTCCAACAACTCTTACAGAATCTATAGGGTTGTCCAATATTCATCATCCAAGCTGGACACAAAATGTCTGATGCTCTTGACATTTACTTATGAAATCTTTTAAAAAAATTAAGCATGTACGCATACCTCCAATAGAAGCTTTATAAGCAATTCCTACAGAGCAGTATTTATTGTCTGCAACTGCTGCCACTTCCCCGGCACACCTTGTTCCATGTCTATTTTCATTTGAATATGTATCTCTTGGAGCAGGATCATCATCATGGTCATTTACATCTTTAGATGCTTGCAAATCCTGAAAATAAAAAAACTTATTATTTCTGTTGGATTACATCGACTAGTTTGTCATACAAAGGGAAATTTTTACAAAACTCTCATCGTGAACAAGATCTGTCCATGGCAGACACTTACATAAGACACTCTTATTTTAAGTATTGGAATAACCAAGAATTTAGGGTTCAACGTTGCCTAAATGCCTACCCAAATCTATTATACAAAACGAGGTGAGGAAGTGATCATGGGTTAAAGCATTCAGACCGTTTTCTGCTAAATTAGCCTCTCTGTAACATTCTGTCTCAAAATGTAATTTTGTTGCCCAATTAGTCATATTAAAAATGGAATTTTATACATATTTTGAATACGACTGAAACTGTTACGATAAGATATGATTTTTTGTATTTATCCTGGAGAGAGGTAAGCCAAAAATATGACTTGATCATAATAGGGAACAACATTATCTCGGCCAGTTATTATTGGGTATGTGATTAGTTTGTCAGTTATTTGTTTCAGATAAATGGACTTGATCATATGGACTTATTCCGGTATTTAAACAGTATTCTGTATTCAAACCTGTGAACCTACATAGGATAATCAGAGGGGTTGAAAAGGGCATCGTTATATATATAAATTTCATCTATTTTCATAAAATTCCTATTGATTACCATGTTACCAGGCATTGACCATAAACTCATAACTTGTAAAAGAAAGACGAAATGTAAAAATGTCATAATTGAAACTGTGACATTTCTAGTCCTGGCAAGAAATGCATAAACATCAGCACGTAAGCATGTTTAACGGTATCTCAGAATTGACATCCAGAATCTAACAGATAAATATTGAGTAATCAATAGAATTGCTTTCTGAATGACAATGATTTTCTTTATGTCATAAAGTAAAACGGTTTGAAGGATAGCAACCTAGATCTTAGAAAGGTTAGTACATCATTACACATATCCAACTACACAAATTTAATTAACAAAGCAGGATAATAATTTTATTATTGAAAAACTGCATTATTTTTTGTAATATGTTTTTCATTAGCACTTACTGAGTCACTATGCCTAGAATAACAGTACAAATAAAAAATGATGGCACAGAATGATCTTCCTTTCCAAATCTCAGACATGCTTTGAAAAATACTAGCTCAATCTACTTTTTATGTATTTATTAATAATGCTCACAAGTTGGAGGACACAAATTTATAAATATTATGTAAACATTGAGTGAGCTGACGAAGCATTTTATTTCAGCAACACTTTTTTCCAAATCACAGAAGTAAATCAAAAATTAATAATGCTGACAAGGCTTAGCCCACAGCAAGGCATTCCAGAAGCGTGTGTACCAATATGGAGGTAACCAATTTTTTTCGCCTACTTGACATCAAGTTGTGTACAGGGACGAAAGCCCATGGGCGTATATATTCACTTGGCTAACACAGACAGTCCCCGAACTCCTAATAAAACTCAAATAAGAAAAATCAGAATAAAATTATGGCCTAACCCTAACCTGGTACACACACTACGGGAGGACCCACAAGAGTCCACTCAAATATAAATTTGAACAAAAAATAATGTTTGATTTTACTTACAAAATTAGCAGCAAGATCAGGATGTTTATATTCTATTCCATCATCTAAAATAGTAACAACAACACCTTTCCCTGTGTAACCTTCCTCCCATGCTTCAAACACTTTCATGCTTGGTCGAATTGTGGGAAGCTGTAAGAATTATTATCCTATATTCAGTGAATGTAACTAAGATAATAAAATGGAAATATAACTGCTTCAAAAGAAGTCTGCAGTAAAACCTTCCAATTTTGACGATGCTCATATCAGAATTTATTTAGGGATACCAAATTTTTCTATGTTCAGAAAATCAAATCCTATATTTCACTGCTATTGAGAAAACTTTTCTGAGAAACCATATTCAAAAATTTTCAAAATATTCGTTACCGTAATTATAATCTCATTTGAAACAAACTCGTTGGTCAAACAACTATTGATACTCATACACTGCTTAAGCCACATTGTTGAAAATAAAATGAATAATATTGCAATTGTAATTACCAAATACCAAGTCTTTGGCCAAAGTGGATCCTTGGGTTGATCTTCCTCAGTGAAATGTGTTATGTCTCGTTTTACCCTACTTTTGATTATTTGTTGTTCGACACTGCGCACCTTTGAAAGTAAAATGTAGCTGATATGAAAATAATTTAGTTTATATGACTACAATCTTCATTTATTATACACAAATCAAGAAGTTTACTCTGTGTTCGCTTGGATAATCATTAACACAATCAGTGGAAATTTAATGTACCGTAATGGTCAAGTCAAATTCACAGTGAAAATCCACAACGACTTCAGGTTGGAAGAAATTTTTACTCCAACTCTTGCTGCAAACATCTATTGGAATCAAATTATTAAAAACTTGGCATGTGCAAGACATCTATACAAGAGACTGTTGAAAAAGCTTTACCACTGTGATTTTTTTAATTCTTGTAAAAAAGGTTGGAAGACTTCAGGTTGGAAGAAATTTTTACTCCAACTCCTGCTGCAAACATCCATTGGAATCAAATTATTAAAAATTTGGCATGTGCAAAACATCTACAAGAGACTGTTGAAAAAGCTTTACCACTGTGATTTTTTTGAATTCTTGTAAAAAAAATTTAAATCTAATCATCACCATTAAATGTCTGAAATCAGAATATGGAGAATTTAAAATTTCGACTCTGGGTTGTCCGAAAATACAACCAAAGCTCCGACTCCAATGAAAACATGCTGAACTAGGACTACATTATCCTGATACAAGAAATAACATATAAATTGCATAGGCTTATATAAGTGAAAGAAATACAATATAGAAATACATACCATTGGATGTAAAGTTAATTTTGAATTATGTTCATGACTCTCACTTATTGATCTTTTCATAACAGAAGGATGATAAAACTTATATGCATTGCCATCTTCAAAAAGCTACAAAAATGGAAATATACATTAGAGAAATCATGAAGTCTAAGACAAAGAGAGGTTTCTACGGTTAATATTTAGTTCCCATTTTAATTGACTCTAAATGATTATTTAAAACGGTTATTATCATATTGTGGGAGCTGGAGCTAACAGAAATTTTAAAGGCTTTGAGCATCTAATTATTTTTTCACATTTATAATCTTCTAATACTTCATGGGTATGAGGCCGGAGCAAAGCTCTAATGCAAAAATTGAAGCTATAGGACCAGAGCTGGAGCCACAGTTCAAATATACTCTGGATCCGGAGACATTGCGATTCCAAACCAGCTACCCAGCCCTACTTTCCATATAATTAGTACATATAACACTATTCATCTCTGCCATATACAAACCTATACCTATTTTGAATATATCACAGCATATTGCTTTGACTGTAATAATTTGTTTCAACAAGTCTTTTAGATGTTGCCCCCCCCCCCTAATGCAACTATTCAAAATACAATATTTTAACGCAATATTAAAGAAAGTTCATCACAAGTGAGTGAACTGTGAAGAAATATCAAATCTGCAGCAACTTTCATAGATACTTTACCATAAAGTTAAACTGCTTTTGGGGTGAAGATCAAATGAAACAGTGGTTTTAAAACAAACATTCACTCGTTTATTAGAAAATATCATACCTTTCCAAAGTTCCTAAATCCATACAATGTAGCAATTTCATCTGCTGCTATATCACCTCCATCAATTTCAACAACCCATTGATTTGCATAATGCACATCACTTTCAGCATTGCAATAACCAAATGCAAAAACCAGTATAAAAATTGCAGCCATGCAACTGGGCATCTTCGGAATTATAGGATTAGCAAAGAGTCGTAAGTATGAAAAAACTTCACATCTTGATTCATTTATGTTCCTCCGTAAATACGGAGCCATTCCAATCGAGTATTCTCTTCCAAGTAATCAACCAGCAGCAATTAGTGATTCGTTATTATAAATTTCCTGTTATCTTGTGATATCATTTACTGTTTTTAAAAGGAAGTAATACAATTTAGATTCAAGATATTTCAATAGCCTACCCTGCTTCCATTCTCATACTATTCTCGTAAATCGGTAAACAGTTTTCCTATTCAGTATGAATAATTGTTCCTTTAATTAATGCAATAATATCAATTAATTAAGAGTATCTATTCAAACTGATAGAATGAAGACAAATTGCCTATCCATAATTTCATGCTTATGAAAGTGCTGGATATGTACATGAAGTCGCGAGTTTAGAACGACAAAAGAGCAGCATCTCATTCCATGTAATACTAGGTTATCTGCTATAGCTTGTATTATGTAGAATGAGATTCTTATACTCTCTTGTTGCTAAAATCAAAAATAAAATGAAAAACTCACAAGGCATTATGAATTATGATATCAATAGAATTTGTTATTGATCAATTAAAAGTTAATTTTATCCTTCATTTCGATTTACCAACACAAATTGTCATAGTTTATTATTATGGTTACAAATTTGAAGTAACAGAAACACACATTAATTATTTGGAACATCATTATAAATATTAGTACAGCAAATTTTATTGAAATGGCACACTAGAAATTGAAACAATAATTCAAATACTATTTCTTTATTGAGCCCAGTAAATCTTACAAGCGGCAATACTGGCATATGAGCTGATGCGCTTAAGAAATGATAATGAGAAAACTAATTATAACAATCAATATATTTGTACTTAAAGGATCATTACTAATTTATTCGAGCTGAATATCAGTATTTAAAATATGCAAGTTCTATTCGAATCTTGAATCATTACATTAATTTAAATTGTTTGTTCAATGATCATGAGAGAAAAATTGCCTAAACGTGAAATTAGAAATGAGCTTCGACTGAAAGCTGGATAATTGAAAATCAATTTAATGGATATAAAGCTAGAATGGGCCATTTCAAGCAATTGTGGAATTCCATCAATTTTTTAAAAGTGTAGTGACTCGATGCTACTTTGATAGTGATCTCAGCTGTTCTTTGATCTCAGTGATTTTAGTAAGGGTTAAGAACTGAATTCTATGAGAATGTCTTTATGAGATTATTAAAAGTGAAATCATAATTGGAACTACTTTAACTTAGATCTATAACATGATATTTTTGGTCAATTTAGTTACAGAACAATATATATCAGCATATAAGCTAAATATAAAATAAAAACACACAATGAAAAATATTTAATTTACCCAGTTCAGCATTTGTTACCATAATTATGTCTAATATCATATAGATTTATATCTATGCTTGTGAAATCGAGAATCATACTTTTCGATGACCATTAGAACCATCACATACAGACATAATTCAGCAATTAATTCATTATTGCATAATTTTAAATTATCTTTCATTTCAATCATCGTTTAAAGTATGAAAATATAGAAATTCTACACAAAATTAGCAACTATGGTATAGACTACAATAAAACCTGGTACCGTATCTGGGTATTCAGGTATCAGTGTATTAGAATATCATGAGATGATCAATGATGGAAGAATATCGTTTTCGCTTGCCTAATCTTATCAAATTGATAATATTAACATGATGGATTCATTCAACAAATCTTCAGTGTGTTCATAACGAATAAGATCATCCTTCTGTGCTAGCAGTCACTGCCCATCAAACTTATGCATCCCAACCTTACATTTGAAAACTGTTTTCATATTGCATTTTACACCGTACCGGTACCGGTACAGCTGTAAATATCACGTATCATATTTCACTTCTATAAGCTGATTTGCCAAAAATCACATCAACGCAGATTTATTATCTATGTTGTTAACTATGATTTGGCGTGGAGAAAAGTTTCCTATACTACACCACCTGCTGTACCAACTATTTTTTTTTTTTGTGCCAAATAAATTCCAATGCCAAACGGAATTTTCGTATTAATATTTTGGTATCATATCATTTTATTATAAATATATAAATAGATATTTTTTTGTTTCCATGTTTTTGTTTATCATTTTTTAATTTAATCCCTGCTGTACCAACGTATTGCTGACTTGCAAACAGGCTTCGGGGCTATAGACCTACATAATAATAATAATCGTCCTGATATTCACTGCAGAACCCACGTACGCGGATGGTGATGTAAGGAGTCAATTAGTACAGACACGTTAGCGCTTACCGTACTACGCATGTGAAGCTGTCGGACGCATTCCATTGCTCACAAGCACTAACAGTTCGTTTGCTAAATTCTATGATTTTAATTCTTTCTAAATTTTAGCTACCAGTGGCTAAGAACATTTCTAAAAAATCCTAATTGTTAGACAGCTTACACATTTTTTCTAGGCGGTTGGCGCATCGTGGAAAGCGTTAGAAGTGTGCTTGACATCACACTCCTGATAGATAATTATGTGCGAAAGAATTGTTGAACTCCTCGCCGCCGTGGGAAGTTCACGAAACTGACGCTGGTCAGTTTCGATACGATACCTCCGCCATCGAGTTCATACAGATGAAATTAATAACACGTTAACTGTCCCAATACGCGACATTGACTGGTAGCCGGGCAAAAGAATGTGGTTGCCCTTTTGTACGGAGTGTTGCTGTAACATTGATGGTAAGATTGGTTGGCCCAAAACTGCTTTCGTACTTGTAAAATTTATCTCATCAACCGACCGCGTCTTCACTTATATAGGCCTCGTACATGTAAGTAGGACGATTTTATCCTCTTCATAAACAACTCGGCTTCAAGCGCAGTCATCACCTATACGGTATACCTATAGGAAGGAAGCTCCGGAAACGATGATGTTGTGGAAGTAAACTGAATACTAAAGAGTGTAATGCGAACATATTCGGCATTGCATTGTACAATACACGGATATGTTAAACGACCATGAACGACAAAACAAATATATAAATTACCAGCAAAATTTCTTACCGTTATAGATTTCATGAGCAAACGTAGTAATCGGATTTACTGCAAAGCTGTTAAGCTTTTGTTTAATTGCTATCAGATTATCGAAATGAAAAGTCTTTAAATAAGGACGTTGATGATTGATGATGATTAGATCCGATAAAGCATTTGAAGACGTACTTAAGGGAGAAACGATGGACCCTTTCAAGTAATTAGAAAATTATTGAAGCACTTGTTATAATTGACTTTCATTAACTAATATGTACTGTATGACATAAATAAAAAGGTGTCACTTAATCTTTATTCTGGTTTAAAAAAGGATATTTTTTAACATATCTGAAATGATGATAATCTCACGATAAAAATTTTTGCTCAGCATCGCATTGATTAAACCGTAAATATATACTAAACTCATATGAGTACTAGTAGATGGTATTCAGTTCTATGGTGGCTGCAATCAAAAGTTTGACGCCCGCTTCGCTTCCAATAACACCCTACGTGTCTTTTTGTACGAACCGCTTTGAAACGACATCGGCATCAGTATTACACTCAATATCTTTGAGTCCTGCTGAGGAGGCTATTCCCAATATGTTTCATATGCCCAATATTTGTATAAAAATATATGCCGCTTTTTAACCATACTCTCCATGGAAAAGACCCTGCAACCCCATGGAATACGACGTTCACAAGTCACTAGGATTCGAACACTACAAAATGAAATTTGGGGTAGTCGGGTAGCAGTGAATGCGACTGATTGACAGTGTTCAATGATATTTCCATGTTTATAGCATGTGATTCGGATAATATCTGATCTGCCAATCTTGTTATCATGAGTGCTGGTAGCCTACCTGCGAAATGAAACATCTTAGATTTAACATTTTGCATATTTATCCCGAAGGAGAGGAAAGTTAATCACAAAGCGAATCACGGCCTCTCGCCCGGTTGCCAGTGCATGTCGGGTTGGTGATTACCTAACCCTTGATCCGATTTTTAAGATGCATGGACTTGATGGCGGAGGAAGCAGTAACCGACCAGCGGTTATGTGGACCACCCTACGGCGGAAGAGAGTCTGGCAATCCTCTCGCACATAATTGTCTCCCACGGGATGCAAACCCATGCAGGCTAATCAGAGGTGCGATGGCGAGTGTATTCCTAACGATCAGCACGATGCGCCACACCGCCAGTTGATTTTGATTTCAGAAAGATGTTTGGAGAAGATATATTCAAAAGAGTCGACTTGAAAAATAGACTGGCCATGTTCATTTTACTGTATCGCGAGGGTACGCTGTTCCTCTGTTCATTGTGTCATTTACCCGGTGCGCCGGTAACGCCCAGACCAGTCGACCTGTGTCATAATTTGCATTCCGATTCCCGTTCCTTGCCATCAATTGCATTTCTGAGTTATCGTGGTTTAGGAATAGACTCCGTTTAATCATACCCTATTCGCGGGTTAGTCTGAGACGCAGTGACTCCAGCTCCCTGTGGGGATTGTTAATATATTTACCCCAACGTGCACAATCGTGATCGCCAGACTATATATTCGCCCATTTGCTCCTATAATCTTAGTCTTATCGACAGATATGCAGTTACATGCATTTTTATTAGTTCAAAATATATTTGGACCGATATAATAAAAAAAATCTTTACTTAATTGACATCTAAATATCCGAGAAAACTAAATTATGGTAAAGCCTTTTTGAAACACGAGTATCGGGTGCATGGCAACACTCTGATGATTCCCAAAAGGGGTATAGTTTTCTCCCAGTTATATATCGAAAACATAAGTAGGCTACACATAAATAGAGTTTTCTCCGTTTCCCAAATCTGCTGTCTGTGCTTCTTACAAAATAGCAAGTTTCCAAAAACTTCCAAACGATATAAACATACATTGTTCTCATTAAGATAATTAAAGAGAATAAAATGAATTCAGGAATTGCCAATTCGAATATCACGCCCTTCGAATATCGTTTTTCGTGTTTAAAAGAAAACCAAATATCGCGCACACATCATAGCGCCGCCGTTTTCATCCTCGTTTCGATAGTGACCGAACATACACAAAAGTTTTTGCATTTCTTGCAATTTACAGCGTATAGAATAGCTCTTATATATTAATTAGTATATCGT